TAGTGGTGTAATCACAATTACCTACTTATCTTGTGTGTTAACTTTGAGGCTAGACTAATTAGTGTGAGTATGGGATATATTTATATTTACTTTATATGCATAGTATATATTTTATATGACGACGGCAACGGACCGTCATATAAGATATATAGTGGTTTGTACGCCGGGTTTCATGGTGTCGCCAACTCGAGGGGTCCCTGGGTTCAAATCCCGGTGGGGGCAGGTGTTTGTGTGATGAATACGAGCATTTGTACTCCAGTCATGGTTGTTAAATATGTATTTCTATACAAATATACTTATATATGTACAGTATTTGTATTCTATCCGTTAATGTAGTATCCCAACACAAGCCTTATAGTGCTTACTTTGCGGCTAGGCTAATTGGTGTGAGTGTTGAAAATATATTTATTTATATTTATTTATTTATTTATATAATCAAAAACATTATCATATTTTGTTATCCAGAAAGTTCTGTCTAGTCAAGTCTATTCTTAAACAGAGATGTTTAAGTTAATATCTGCTTAATAGATTGATTATGGAGTGACAAACATATTTTTTTTTATGAAAAAGAAATCTTTATTATATTTGCAATACACGCACAATGCAATTAGTAGAAATTGAAAAAAATGCAATTTCAAACATTTTCAATATTGAAAGGTAAGGAATTAATTAGATTGTCAGCTCATTATGTAGACTTGACCTTTGCTCATTACTGTTAATTATAAATTATAATGCAAAAGGAGTGTGTATCTAGTTTTTTTTTACATTGTAACAAACTTTTTTGAATATAATTAATATTATGTGACCAAAAAGTTTAAGATAGTCTATTTTTTATGGGGTATGTAGGAAGGTAAAATGTGCCTTATGTAGTTTCAACTTCAAAGTTATGGTATGCTTGCTAGAAATATTGTTTCAGTCCTTATTATCAAATGACTATTTTCGATACCAAATCTAGTTTCCACTCATATATGTATATCCTACAAATATTATAAATGTGAAAGTTTTTATTTTTGTATCATAAGAGAAGCATAGCAGATTTTCCGCTCGATTAAGAGTGACCGTCGGGGGAAGTAACCTCCATCTTACAGGGGATCTCAGTAAAATAACACTCACCTTTTGGTGGTGTTATAATTCTGAAGGTAAGTAAGGTTCCAGGGCTCCACGGGTTAGGGATTGGGTCAGGGTAGGCAACGGTGCGAGTGATATATTTGGTATCGTAAGCTTCTATAGGCCATGGTGGCCACTTACCATCAGACAGGCCATACACTTTGAATAATTTATTTTTTAACGGATTTGGATAAAATAGGGTATTTGACAGTGTTAAAAATTAAGTGCCAATTGTTAGCATCCATGCTTAGAATGAATATTGGCAGGGGTTTTTACTATTTTTCCAAAAAAAATATTCATAATTTAATGAAAACTAAGGAAAAAGATAATTGTTTTCTTATCTATTGTCACGTGACCCAAAACGGTTGGGATTGGCGGAGCCTAAAATGACGTCACACACAAGTAAACTTCCGGTTAAAGTGACATTACATTGTATCGTTTGACGTTTTAATAACAGTCGTGTGACGTCACACACTAGTAAGACGCCGTATTGTTAAGAGACGTTTTCGCGGCAACTTGAAAATGGAGTTTTTGATTTGGTTATTTCTACTGAAATACACAACAGAATGATGAATATCAACTTTTTACGGACTCCTTAAACATTAGTCAATAACGTGAGATCGTTTTCTAAAACTTGTCAAATGAGACATAGGATACCTCTTATCCCGGACCTATGTTTATAGGTTCCTGTTCACGTAGCATGAGCACTACAATTTATATTATATCACGTTTTTTATCGCGTCTAACTGTCAAATTCCATAGTATTTTGATAATTGAGCGTTATAAAAACGAGCTTTATATCATAGCGCGGTGCTCGTGCTAAGGGGGCTGGGGCATTCTCAAAAAACTCACTATAACGCGGACGAAGTCGCGTTCGGAACCTATTAATATAATTCTAAAAGTCGCGAAAATAACATTAAATGAGTGAGAAATAGGGACAAAAAAAACATTTTGGACACCATTTATCTATTGGCACTAGTTAGCCTGAAATAGTTTTCAATTACATAAAGATGCGACATGAAATTTGTCTACCTACAGATTTACAATAGGAGAAAGGTACTTGCTATACGGGGCTTTCATAAAGTGCTGAATGTCATACAAAAATCGCCTTTCCGGTGTGGTGTCATACGGACGAGTTTCTCTTGCGACACGATCGCGTTGACCCAGATAGATTATTCACTTTCATCTCACGATGATTTTGGTACGTCCAGCTCTAGTACCGATCAAGAATTCGTCTATAGCAATATTATAAAGAGGTATTGTTTTTGAGGTTGTAGAGGGGTAATATCTGGATCTACAGAACCGATTTTGTTTTTTTTTTTACTAATAGAAAGTCACCTTATTTCTGCGTATCATAGCGATATATTAACCCAAACAAAACTTTTTAAACAAACTTATTTAAATGCTTTAAAAAAAATTTTTCATTAAAACTTTTTTACTCTGAACTTATAACGTCATTACACATGATCCCTTGTCACCGATTTCGAGCGGTTGGCCACCCATGCGACTTTCCGATCGAATTGGAGCTGCATTCTAACAGGAGATCACAGTAAAATAACACTAGTATCGGTGGCGGCTAGGGTTACCATCCGTCCGGATTTGTCCGGACATGTCCGGACTTTTTGCCCCGTGTCTGGACTTTTTGTCCCGTGTCCGGACTTTGCCTGGCTTTTTAATTTGTCCGGATTTTTTTAATTAGATGGAATGTGAGAATAAGTCAAATAATCTTTATTATGTTATTAGAGAACTTATCTCATTAATTTAAAACAAAATATAAAATCAACAACGAGACCCCCCTCGCGATGCGAGCGTCTGCTACCACGCGTATAATATCACTGTAACTAAGTGAATGATGTTTGCATTTTGTGACTAAAATGTCCGGACTTTATCGAAATGTCCGGCTTTTTGTCAGGACTTTTCAAATTTTTAAATACACACATCAAAAGTGTCTAGGGATCAACATATATTTTTGCAATAACTTTTCTCCTGATTGATATTAATTAAAATTTTCTTTAAGGATTCATCAAATAAAGTGTTTTCGTTTGTCACAGTAACGATAAACCAAGTCACCTTTGCATTAATAAAGAAATTTGCCATTTTCCTAATAAAGGGATTTTTGACATTTGAACCACTAACACAAAAGTTCGAAAAAAAGACTGAAATAACAGTTTTCTCTAAAATTTTATTGGGTAACTTAAACAATTAATAATCCGTATTTCTACCGCGAACACTAACAACACAAGAACATCGGTTTGGCATACTCAAAATGAGTTCATCCAAATCACGCTGTGGAATGGCCGCCCATGTTCGTTGCAACAACAAAAAAAGGTCTTCTTGCGACTTCCATATTCGGCAGAGCTCTTCTCTGTAGCATATCCCATGCATGCTCAATCGGGTTCAAGTCTGGCGACTGAGCAGGCCAGGGCAGGACATTGATGTTAGCTGCGGCGAGAGTCTGTCTTACAACTCTTGCGGTGTGCGGTCGTGCATTATCATGCATTAACTGAAATAAGGGACCGATTTGCACTTGTAGAGGAACGATGACGTCTGATACAATCGTCTCAGCATAAATTTGAGCGTTGAGGTTGCCTCTGATCCAAATCAACTCAGTTCTTCCGCCAATCCAAATACCCGCCCATACCATGATGGTTCCACCACTATAAGGATGGACTTCCTGGCAGGATTTTAATCGCTGTTGGCGTCCAGGGGTTCTCCAGTGTCGTATACGTCTTGTATCCGGTCTCATACCAAAACGAGACTCATCAGAAAAGCACACGAAACGCCATTGTTCTTCTGCCCAATTTCTGTGTTCAAGAGCCCATTGATATCGAATCCTACGATTGTGCATTGCTATAGGTGGTACCCGTAGCGGTCTTCGGGAATGAAGGTTCACTTCATGCAAGCGGTTTCTGACTGTTTGGTCGCTAATTAAGTTCCCTGAAGAGTGATGAAGCCTCACGGCTAACATCATGGCGGTTATTGTTGGAGCTCTTCGAGTTAAGATTTGAATGTATCGGTCTTGTCTCCGTGTGGTGCAGCGATACCGTCCTCCATGGCGCTCAGCCACGGTACCAGTGCTTCGGTATCGTGTCCAAAGTCGACTGATAACACTCTGACTTGTATTCAGAGCTAAAGCCACAGTACGTTGCCGGGAACCAGCTTCTATCATTCCCACGGCTCTGAGCATTTCTTCCCTGCTTAAATGACGTCGCCGCTCCATAATAACGTTGGTTTTAATCAGTAGTAGGGAAACAGTAGCACTAATAATGTCTTCAATGCGTTGTATGTTTTTATAGGGAAAATATTGACAGCTGATTTTCATCTTTTACTCGAATTTGATTCACAGTTCCTGGTTCAAATTATGAAATGCACCAAAAAGGATCCATATAAATTTATAAAATCATAAATTTATTACAAAGCCACATCTCAATCTCAAGAAATCCGCATAAAAATGCTTGATCCCTAGACACTTTTGATGTGTGTAGTAACTAGTCCTAGTCGCGGCAAAGTTCTTGAGCAAAACCACAAACAAATAAACTTGCGCGGTAAACGTTTTTGTATGTAAAAGCTACTACGCAGTCTTCCTGTCTGTGGTCATTGCGTAAGAAAGTTGCCGGGATATATAACTTTTGGTGGTGTTGTTGGGCTCCACGGGGTACGGGAATGGGTCAGGGTAGGCAATTGGATGGGTGACCAAAAATTTTCGAGCTCTTCCGAGCTTCAGAAGGCATGTTAAGCCGTTGGTCCCGGCTGCATCTGCAGTCGTTAGCACCCACGAATCCGCACTGGACCCCCGTGGTGTATCACGGTCCAATCTCTCTATTCCATCCATAGGGACGGCCTGTGTCCCAGCAGTGGGGACATTAATAGACTGATGATTATTATATGAGCTTTTGACATATAGTTATTTTTCCAGCGCAAGAAAACGACGACAGAGATCCTAGAGCGACTAGAGACAAAAATCAAGAGCATAGAAGAAGATGGCCAGTACAAGGAGCAAACTCACAAGCGGGTCATCGGCTACGTCATGGCGTATTCTGTCGGCTTGTATGTCGTGTTCGCCATACTATATTACTATATGTATGTTGGGAAAAGTCAACATTGGCTCCATTCTTTGATTTACGCGTCGCCTCTTCTCGTTCTGCCAATATTGTGAGTATTATTTATACTTCTAACTAGCAAACCCCGCGAACTCCGTTTCGCCACCAGATGGCTTCGTTTTATGTAACATTTCGTTTGGTGATTAAAAGAAGTTTTTTTTTTTAATTTTTCCTGAATTTTCTTTGCTATAAACCTCACGGAACCCGAGACCTTTCCAACGAATGCAAAACCGTGGAAATCGGTTCGTGCGTTCTGGAGTTATAGCGTCAGGAAGGAAAACCCGACTTATTTTTATATAGTAGATAAATAAAATTCTCGTGTCACGGTGTGCGTAATTGAACTACAGTAGACCTGCGGTAATCTGCCAAAGGTTTTGCAGGGCGATGACGGTTTATCGAATTTGTCGGATTACAGACTACTGCCTAAGACCACCCTCTATAGTTCGGAATTTTTGGAATAACAGTACCTTGTAATCCGATAAATTACAAATCTAAAAATCTATTACAATTGATTTTACATATTTGCAAATCAACAGCGATAAGCGTGTCGGATTACCGGGGGCGCCGAATTAGACGGGGTCCGGATTACCGCGGGTCTACTGTACTCCGGAACGGTACGAGCGATTTTCGTGAAATTTTATATGCATATTCAGTAGGTCTGAGAATTGGACAACATCTATTTTGCATCCCCCTAAATGTTAAGGGTAAATTTTAATTTAAACCCTTAAATTTTTGTTTAGAATTTTTTTGTTTTTATTTTTTTATGATGCATCATACAAAAATACAAACAACCCTATATTTTCACCTTTCTACCACCAACCCAATTTATGGCGGTACGAAGTTCGCTGGGACAGCTAATGATAATATAAAGATGAAGAGTTTGTTTGTTTGAACGCGCTAATCTCAGTAACTACTGGTCCAATTTGAAAAATCCTTTTTGTGTTTGATAGTGCATATATCGATAAAGGCTAGAAAGAAAGGAAGAAGAAAGAAGGAAAAAAGATTTTTATGAACCCCCATTACACAATAAATCGTAAAAAAGAAAGAACATAAAATAGCAATGATAATAAGGGTTAACCAGGACCCTGTCTCAGCATGAGCTGGTGCAACAATGGTCGCATCAGCGCTGATGTTCTGACAGGGCCTGATAAGAGTTAGACAAACACAAACACATACAGTGCGACAAGGATCCCTACAAATGTAAGTGACAGTTCAGGGAGGGCGCCATCGTCTACGCAGATTACATACAAAATATGGCGTTTACAAAGACGGCAGCGTTAGTTCCAATTTTTGCCACACTCACAAATAACCTGGTCGCACCGTAAAAACATTTTTTTTAAATATTCCAAATAAAATACTTAATAAAAGACAAATCAAAGAAGGCAGAACATTAGCAAAAGCAAAATACTCAGGCTGAACAGACAGGAGCAGACAACCAATATAAAGTGTTGCAAATACAGAAAAAGAATATTCCATTTATGAGCTTCCGTCGAGGAGCTCGATGGCGCGTGTGGTTTGCGCGGTCGGCTGCGATCGTTGAAGTTAAGCAACTTTCGCTGTGATCGGTCATTGGATGGGAGATCTAAAATCTTCTATCTCGAGTTCGGATAGATCGAGACCAACGTCTTAACGTGCTTCGGAAGCACGTTAAGACGTTGGTCCCGGCTGCATTTGCAGTCGTTAGCACCCGCCAATCCGTACTGGACCCGCGTGCGCTCCCTATTCCTTCCATAGGGAAGGCCTGTGCCCCAGCATTGGAGACATTAACAGGCTGATGATGATGATGGTAAGCTTCTGTTGCGTGCGCTACGTAAACAATTGAAGAATGAAAAGGAAAGACTGATGTTAAATTTAGTTTTAAGTATAGAGGCTCATGTCAAAATCGACACCATTATGTTATTGGGATTATGTTTGTAATGACTTAGCATTTTTCAGAGTAATATTCCTTCGCACTGCCATATCTTGGTATTACAACTGGACTCTTAACAAGAGCAGGATAAAACTGACAAAGATGCGAGAGGAGAAGAAGAAGATTCTAGAAGAAGTAATGAACACGGAGACATATAAGGTATGCACAATCAGACGAACTCCCAGGTTCGAATCCCGATGGAGGCGTTTATTTCTGTGCCGCGCACGAATAATTGTTTCCGAGTCATGGTTCGTCATCCATACTAATATTATAAAGGAGTAATTGCCCGCGACTTTGTCAGCGTGGAAAAATTGGTTTCACATACAAATGTCCACCTCCCTTTTCATCCCCTTATAGGATGATTTCCGGGATAAAACTATACTATGTCCTTTCCCGCGACTCAAACTATTTTTGTTCCAAATTTCATTTAAATCGGTTCAGCGGTTTAAGCGTAAAGGAAGAGTCAGCTTTTGGTATTTTTTAAAAGTTCAATTAGGTATCTACTGTGTGATATTTATGTAGAAATAGTACAGGGACGCCCATGGCTATACTATACGATGAAGATGCCTGATTTTAAAGTTTCTCGGGTAACTCGAAATTCACGGTGTATAATAGGGTATTTGACAAGTTTTAGAAAACGATCTCACGTTATGGACTAATGTTTATGGAGTCCATAAAAAGTGGATGTTCATCCTTCTTTTGTGTATTTCAGTAAAAATAACCAAATCAAAAATTTTTTTTTGGAAAAATAGTAAAAACCCCTGCCAATATTCATTCTAAACACAGATGCTAACAATTGGCACTTTTTTTAAAACTGTCAAATACCCTATTATATATAAATACACTTATATATGTATCAGTATAATGAATTCTATCCGTTACCATAGTATCCTATAACACAAACCTTACAATGCTTACTTTGGGGGTCAAAAATATTACGAGTATTTACGACTTCCGTGGCTAAGTGATTTGTACGTCGGGTTTCAATGTGTCTCCTACTCAAGAGGTCCCCGGGTTCAAATCCCGGTGGGGGCAGATGTTTATGTGATGAATACGATCATTTGTACTCCAGTCATGATTCTTTAATATGTATTTCTATGAAATGTAATGAAACGTCATCTATTCAGTCTAGGCTGTTACAAGCACTTGTGAAAGTCAAGAAGCTACGCCATCGTTTCTCAAAACTACGAAAGGGAAAGTGACTTTATGAGTTACCTCATATTGAAGTCATTTTTCAATTTGACGACTCTGTATATAATACAGAGAGAAAAAAACAGCCGGTTCTTCTCAGTACAAGGTCTCCCACCGTAGATTTGCGAACCGATGGCGTAGCTTTTCGACATTCACAAGTGCTTGTAACAGTCTAGACTGAATAAACGATATTGAATTTTGAATTTTTTGAATTTTACGGCGGGAGACCTATATGAATACACTTATAATATAGTGCTTACTTTGGGGCTAGGCTAATTGGTGTCAGTGTTGGAAATATTTTAATTATTTACATATTTTGATTGTTGCATTATTTTCATTGCAGATTGCGAAGGAAATACTCGACAAATACGGCAGTCCAGAAGAGCAATCTAAGGGGCTCAAGCCGTTCGTTCCAACGTCCAACGTGCCCGGTAAACTACCCACGCCTAGTCAATCACCAATCCCAGGTATCCCATGTAGACCCCTAGTGGCCATACCTGATCCATACAGTGCGACCAAGATCTTTGCTTATGCCTTATGCCTAGATATTCACTTAGAAGAGCTGCGTTCGGTATTTGCATCTCAGAGGCGACGGATTTTTTCTTTGATCTTCCTCTCATTTTAAATGCTATGTTATTTAGAAAAATAAACGACGTGTTGCAGTCCGGGAGTGCCGGCAGAAGTGAAAACTTGAATTTTTGATATTTTGAAATAGGGAATAATTTTGCACGAATTGCTTTAAATATCAGTATAAAAGTACTATCATTTATAATACAATATTTATTTATTGTGCTATCGTACACAAATATGAAAATTTATATTACATTAAAAAGTTTATCTCTCAGAAAAATGATCTTACATGAATCACATTTAAGCGCACCTAGCGACATCTATTGTAAAGAAATGCATTTTCTTAGCAAAAAAGCTGCCACCTGGACGTCTTAATTAGAGATTTATACGATAAAATAAAATATTACTATATTTCGTCCAATATATTGAAAGTCAACAACCTTTCCAATTTTCTTATTTTCGTCTTACGAATTTTCGATCAGGCCACGTGTCCCGACGCGAGTTTAACATTTTTTACCCATTACAAAAAAAGTGTACAACGCCGCTAAACAATATTTCACTTCAATAATTCTTATCATTTACCCTTTGGCCGGTTATCATAAAATAAGTCATGTGTTTCTTTTTAACATTTCACGCGTTTGATTCTCGGTTGTGGCAATCGATTTTAAATAAATCTGTGTATGCAGTTCTTCTTATTATTTAAAAATAAAATGATGTCTTCTTTTAGTAAAATATCCTATCACAGTATTTAATATACTTTCCCTCCGTGTGACAAATAACATGTTACCCGATTATGTCGAGGAGGCAGAACCAATCAGTTCTTCAAAAAGAGATTTATACTTATGATTTTATTTATTTTATAAGCATTTAACTGCTAGATATTTAAATCTTAAGAAAAGTTTACTAGAAAAAAATCCACGCGGACCAGGCAGCGGACGGGACTCGAACCCGCATCCTTCGCTATCCGGGCGAATGCACTGACCATTATGCTACCACGGCCCTAATAATGGTCAGTGCATTCGCCCGGATAGCGAAGGATGCGGGTTCGAGTCCCGTCCGCTGCCTGGTCCGCGTGGATTTTTTTCTAGTAAACTTTTCTTAAGAGATTTATAGTTATTTACAACACATTTGATAAAAATGCATTTACGGAGGTTGTATACATTGTTCTTAAGTTAAAAATTACGTACCATACAACAGAGCGTGCGGTAAAATTTTACGGCACGCTGCGGTATATAACATCATCGTGCGTAGCCTTTACGATTATTTTTTATTTCGATCGAACCTTGTAAGCCCGTGTAATCTATACTTTTGGCTAACTTTATTAATAAAATAGAAGAAAAGAGCCGACAGATATAGTTCTTACTTTCACCACTAGCACGTGGCGCTACGTGGAAATGCGCATCATTTTTGTCTAAGAAAAAATTTTGCTTCATTACTTAAAAATTATATTGCTTTCTCGCAAATGTGTTGTAAAACAACATAATTATCTATATATATAAAAATGTTATGTTGGTTTGTGTACGCTTCAACTCAAAAAGTTCTGCACCGATTGAGTTGAAATTTTAACATGATATAAAATCCGCATCAAGGATTGTTTTTATCTATTTTTTGCATCAGTCACATATCTGCGACTGCGAGAAAACAGTTTTTTTAACGATCAGCTGTTTACCAGCGACCGCGCCATCTGCCAGAAGCGAGGATAACACTCGCTGACAACCGCAATAGTAATGTCGTAGTCACATGAGAAACAATTTCGTTCCTAATTACATTGTTTATTTACAAAAAAAAAATTGCATCTGATTCGGATTATTATACAATCTGAATTAAATATTCACTTAAATCAAGAATTTTTGGTGTGATAATGTTGTGATCGAACTGCGCCTTCCACAAAATCGTAAGTAGAGGTTATATTTTATATCAAAGATGGACAATAAAAATATTATTTTTTTGCAATTATTATTTATTTAATATAAATTATTTAATAAATAAGTAAAATATTAGTTAAATAATTAATCAATAACAAAACATATTTATTATTGAAGTGAATCTTTTTTAATGATCGTGTTCCCGAGTCGGCAAACCAGTCTAGTCTTTATATCTACGCAGACAGTGGAAAAACAAAAAACATTGTATATCCACAAGTATTGCAAAATTAAACTTAAATGAAATGTATTCTTTGTTTTGTTTCTCATTTCTATTCTCTATTTTAACCGAATGGTTCACAATGTGCCACTGCGAAGCGTGGCAGGGTACAGGTAGTAACTTATGATTTGGAATTAACTAAGAACTACAACTGACCGTATCTGCCAGCCTATCGAATAGACTACACAAATACTTTTGCGTAACTAATGTTTTCTCGTGTAAGCGACTGTAATGGTTTTTATGTGAGAAGTAAAGTTACTTCAACGTTATCTTTATGAACATGGAGGTTAGAGATAAGGAGAAGGATCGCTGTAGAAAATAGTGTCCCAGAAATATGGACAAAATAAGTGAGGCGCTGCGATCACTAAGTTGTCTCAATAAATGCGGGCTAATTTGAAATGACCAATGCCGTGAAGAAATTTTGTACAATATTCAACTAACTTCATCTACTTGTACACATAAACAGCTAACTTCACAGACACTACTAACCGACGGCAGCGCGGCTGGTGGCTGAAAAATGAACTTTAAATTCTACAAATTTTCAGGTTCGGGCGGGCTAATGCTTTAGTACGTAGCTTCCGTTCGTACGTTCTCCATCTCTCTAACCTCCGTGTTTAAAAACGTGAATTACAGTTCAGGTAGGGCGCCACTGTTTACGTAAATGATATACAAAATATGACGTTTACAAAGACGGCGGCGTTAGTTCCAATTTTCGCCACATTCATAGAGATCTTGGTCGCACTGTACCTTTGCTGCCCTTGTTACTACTAATACCTTACGCTCATTTTCTTTTATATTGTTGGTACCAATACAAAAGAAAGAAAAGAGCGCGGGCATTTAAAAACCTTCAGCAGTCAGAAATAACAAAATGAAAACGTAAGCGAAAGCGATAGCGATAGCAACCCCGATAAGCGATTTGCCCCCAGGCAGTAGATGGGACTCGAACCGTTCCTTTTTTTTTTTTTTTTTATTATTATTATTTGCAATCAGTCTTTGGACTATGAGCAAATTTATTGAGCGCAACCAAACATGACAGGAGTGGTCGGCCAGCGCCACCACTTCCTTTAAAGAACATTAACCGTTTCTAGTAAAATTTTCTTTAGCTTTAAAATTAAAAATATATAAGTAGCAACACATTTAATGTTGATTGCCCTGCTTACTACACCAGTTCCAGAGGTAGAAGGTTGAAGGGATAGAAGGGAAAAATTAAAAAGGCCGTTGTAGTACCGTTAATACGTAAACAGTTTTTTTTCTAGCTACAGATATAATTTGTATACAAGTTAGTAATTAAATTAAACATGAATGCTATAACGAGTATGTTATAGCATGTCTGTAATGTCTTTATTATGTGAAAAAGAGAAAAAAACGTGTCTAATAATTTTTGATTATGTACCTGATGGGTGAAGAAAAAATGTTAGGCATTAGAGCCGAGGTAGCATAATGGTCAGTGCATTTGCGTCTGCTGCCTGGTACGCGTGGACTTTTTTCTAGTAAACTTTTCTGTAGATTTAAACATCTAGCAGTTAAATGCTTAAAAAATAAATCATAATCATCTCTATTAATACTGTTTCGGAAAAGGGGGGTAATTGTAGAATTTCTACTCGTATCATCGCACACTTAAGTAAACATTTGAAAAATAAAACTTCAATGGAGTTTATAAAAAAAAATAAGCTTTAATCTGCTCGATTTGTAAATTTTAAGAAACACGTTACTTAGTCAAATTTTATCGAGTTTAATTTACCTAGTAAAAAAATATTTAACTTTAATAGAGTTTGATGAAATTTGCTTGCCTTTTTATGTATTTAAAATTAGTTTAAAGTAATTTTTTTCACCGCTATGCTACCAACAACTTAGCGGGCTTGTCGAATTTCTTTTATCATTGCAGACAACCATAATGTCATGTTCTTGTATTTAAATAGCTTTCAAATTACGTATTTTAAAGTTTTTTTTGTAATTTCAAATGTCAAGTTTAGAAATTTCATAAACTTCAATGAAGTTTGAACTAAGTATGTAAATATCATTCAAATACCAGCTATCTTCGCGTTTGGACTTTATCACCACTTAACATCAGGTGGGGTAGAGTCATTTGCCTACCTAGCTATAAAAAAAAATATCAAATTGAATAAAATCGTAATAGGAACTGAAATTGGAAAATATCCAAGTTTTTGAACTTTGCTTAAAAATCACCAAGTTAAATCCACCAACCACCGATGGAACAGATTTCAGGACTCTTAATGATCTTACCTTAACTCTAATGTCCGATTTAACTGTATTTAAGTCACAATAACTGCCATTTTTTTTTATTCCTTTCAGTAAAATCCCATTATTTCGTTTACCCGTTGTCCCACCGTTCTAAACAGTATTTACCATTGGGTCTATGGGCAAATTATTGTACCATGATCCCACTGCACTAAGTGGTAAACCACAGAACACAGAAAGAGGTTAGAAGGTTGTTTTTAGACTGTTTGTACGGGAACTTGCTCGGCTCGCCCCTACTACACTTCTACCTAATATTATAATAGCCAATCAAACGACGCGACATCAAACAATTGAACCAATCAGCGCTCTCACCGTGAGTAACGACGCAATCAGAACCAAGTTTTAACCAAGTTAAGAGCATTTGCTCACATATAGCAATGACGCGCCTGCCCCGTCCACAAGGTCCTTCTAACTACTTTCTGTGTTCTGTGTAGTGAATATTCATAACTATGGCTATTTTGTGAAATATCGGAAACTTGTTAAAAACAAGGTACATGGTAAAAATCCCGTAAATAACTTATAGTCTCCTTTAGAGAACCACTAATATTGATAAAATATTAAACCAGCATTTAAAGACCTTTAACTGTTTGAAAATAAGGTGCACAATAAAAATTTTCATCTATACTCTATTCAACTTATTGACAAAAGACAAACACATAAACCAATGTTTCTAAAACTATCTCATCGAGAGCAAAGATGGCCGGCGTAACCAGACTCGTTACAAAATTTCACATTTTAATGTAAATTGTTTGCTTTATCACTACTTTTTAATTTTGTAGTATTATCTTGTATAGTGTGTGAATAGCTACAGTTTCAAGTCTTTTTAATCTCACTTTTTTAAATTATGATTTTATATGCGTTTAAAATTAGACCAATTGAAAACTTTTTTATGTTTTGTTTATCTTTTGTCTCAGAGAAAGTCGAATAGGATATATACTTATTCACTTAATAATTTTATTCTGTCTTGTAAAGGTATTCATTTGCCATTGTGGGTTACCAACAATGCGAAGAGATGGCACCGCTTTGCAACTAAGATGTGCTAGAGAAAATTCGACACGGCCATCACGGCCGCGGTAGCATAATGGTCAAGGGTGCGGGTTAGAATCCCGTCTGTTGCCTGGTCCGCGTGGATTTTTTTCTAATAAAATTTTCTTTAGATTTAAACTTCTAGCAGTCAAATACTTAAAAAATAAAAATATAACTAATTTTGCCTTTTTTCAGCAACTCCAGGTCAGTTGAGACAGCGTCAACTAGCCTTGGCTAGTTCAACGCCCGTGTCTAACAATATGAATGTATTGGCTCTCAACAATTCCGTGACTTTGTACAAAGGGCCCAGACTTAGAGTAAGTACCTATTTATTTATTTGTACAGACTCGAAACAGGTTACAGTCATAAGAGTACTAAATTAATTAACAATAGAAAGGAAACCAGGAACAAACTGAGGAGCTGGCGAACAAAACGGTATAATTACATAAAATTACATTTTACAGGATCTGTATAAAAATTTAATGACATACCTCCAGTGAGCTTATGGTATGCTTTTATAAATTTAGTCATTTTAACACTGTTTTAGGCTGTTTTGATTGAAAATTATTTGTGATTAAATTTCAACTAGGGTTACCATCCGTCCGTAATCAGGTTTATTATGTATGTAATAGAGTACTATAAAATTGTTGTACAGCCAGCGACAATCCGAGTACATTGTGCCACTGATTATACTTATAATTTTGTTCTAAAGCAAAAAGCGAAAATGTTGGTTTTATAAGATTTTATGTTAGTTTCGAATATATCTATTTCTACACATTCGAAAAATTGGATTGTAAAATGATGTTTTGTTACGATAAACTTGTAAAGACAATTATTATATCATTATATTTAATCAGGTATCCGTGTTCTGTATGTTGAGTTCAAATCTATTGTGGATAGTAAGGATCAATATATGAATGGACTATCTTGTAGAGATTAATCATCTCTCTACTTTCGTCTGTTTTCTAAAGTTGTTATTTTCTTATCTTTGTATAAAAATTGGTTATAATTATGTTGACCTCTTCTAGACAGGTCAGGTCAGTTTTGAACGATCCACAACTTTGTCCAAAGCTGACTTGTTCCTGTCTAGAAGAGGACGCGGTTTGTTCACGTTTTAACAAATAGTAATGTTTTCTCAACAGTCTGACCAGCTACCGCGACCTCTTCTAGACAGGAACAGGTCAGCTTTGGACAAAGTTGTGGATTACATACTGAAGGATGGCCCCAGCAATCGTATGGCACTTATATGCGGCGCCTGCTTTTCGCATAATGGTAAGAGAGTTGTTGATATAATTAAATTATGAAAAAGTGGTGACTTGATTTAAATATCGTTATATTTAACTTTAATTGTACATTTTTTATGTCTAAACTATAGGTTACGGCTCTCTTAAACTATGTCTTAAATCAATATTTTTAAAATAAATACAATTCTTTATTCCACCACAAGTTCTTAGCGCCTGAACCGATTTAGATGTGTTTGTTTTTCTTTCACCATCCCGGGTAACATAGGATAGGTATTACCTTTCTCTATGTTGAATACTGTGTCAATAAAGTTTGTTTAAATGAATATTATGTGCATTAAAGTGCTATCCTAAGCCTATTTAAGTACTGCTGCTCATCAAGATCATGAAAGCTCATGAATCAATAAAAAAATCAGAAAACATTAAAGGAAAAATGCATATAGGTACCAATGTTAAATGTAAGCATGGGGGAGAGGAGGGGTAAGAGCCTTGCTTACTTTTGCTTACAAGGGGGAGGAGGGGGTAAATAATTATAATAAATCTGCTTACGTAATACTTGAACGGGCCCCATGCCAAAGACATTTTTTTAACGGTAGTCGTGTTTTTTATATATTTTCTACTATTGTTGTTTTTAGGTATGGCAATGATAGAGGAGTTCGACTATGTGTCGTACAACTGTGCTTACTGCGGCAAACACAATCCGGCGCGTAAACAGAGACCTCATGCACCATTATTACTGCAGAATCATTTGCCTATCACCGGTAAGATTCAATAGATTAAAAAAACATGACTTAGCGACTGTCGTGCGTCATGAAAAAAAACAAAATAAAAAAAAATGTTAACTATCAAACACAATATATAGTCATAGTTGACCAACTTATACATGACTCATTTGTGAGTCCCCCCTTCCTTGTGTGACGTCACATATTTTGCTTTTCACTAAAATTCAACAAATTAGAACAGCCTTTCCGAAATCAGTTCCGAAACATAGCCAATGAAAAAGAAATATAACCCATTCGGAGTTCTAAGTATTTTAAAGGATTTTGGAAGGAAAGATTTATTGAGTGATATATTTTTTTGCAGCTGGCAACGCTGACGATTCTTCCATCGCAAGTTCCGCGAGCGATAGTGATGAGGAGAAAAACGAATCTTCTAAAGTTGGTAAGACATTTAGGTTTACGTGCCATTTTTACAGGACTAGATACCAGAAAAAGAGTGTAATGTTTTCAAGATTAATGTATATTTTTGTATTTCGTATAACTTTATTCCAACACAACGTTATAACAGATATTTTCATCATAACAGGTTTATGTAGTTAATTTTGTTTTAAGCGTTTATGTATAATACAAAACGCAACGCTAAATATGATGATTGAAATTAGTTAAATTTTAGCAATATTATAGGAAATTCGATCAAAACTACTGAACCTATGTTGTAAATTCTTTCACTAGTAGACTATTATATTTTTCTCGATATATGCTTTAAGCATAAGTTATATTATGTCGCAATAAGAGGGGAGGCTGGGATTTTTTTGGATACAAACATTCTCGACTGATTCGTCCCTGGGGTCAAGATTGAAACATTAAATAGATTTTCGTTTCTGATCGGTAATAATATGTCTTTCGATCTTGACCCCCGCCCGACTTCCAAATCATGAACCAGATATTATTTTTAACTTTTTAGTTCCATTTTCGATCGGTTTAAAGTCGGTTTAATTTTTTGTTTTTTTTTTTATGTTTAATAATTGATTTTCATACATAAAATATAATTTTAGTCATTCTATGCTCATATGTCTTCCATTTTTCTATAACTTGACTTGTGTTTCAAAGGAAGTAGAAGCCCTCGAGAAGGGCCAAATGAGGGTTTTCTGGAATGACGGGCACCAGGTGGCAGTACTGAAACGAAAGGTCTACTCATCCTTAAAATCGCATTATGTTCTCATAGTCTATGGAGTTCGCACCTAGAACTTCATACTAAAGACCTCACCTCACAGTGGACCAAATTTTCATAAACACCCTCATCATCATCATCATCAGCCTATTAATGTTCCCACTGCTGGGGCACAGGCCTTGCCTATGGATGGAATAGGGAGATTGGGCCATGACCCACCACGCGGGCCCAGTGCGGACCCTCATTAAACAATTTTTTATCACCACTAAAAACGTCTAATGTGGCGATTTAATAAGCATTTACAAAAGCAAAATATAGAGGCATACTATAATTACTTATTATTCATTGTGTAAAATTTCATTTACATATATCTAGTTTTCGAGGATGAAATCGTCGAGATCCAATTCTCATTTTTGCAATTTTTTTCCTCATTAAACAATTTTTTATCACCACTAAAAACGTCTAATGTGGCGATTTAATAAGCATTTACAAAAGCAAAATATAGAGGCATACTATAATTACTTATTATTCATTGTGTAAAATTTCATTTACATATATCTAGTTTTCGAGGATGAAATCGTCGAGATCCAATTCTCATTTTTGCAATTTTTTTCCTCATTAAACAATTTTTTATCACCACTAAAAACGTCTAATGTGGCGATTTAATAAGCATTTACAAAAGCAAAACATAGAGGCATACTATAATTACTTATTATTCATTGTGTAAAATTTCATTTACATATATCTAGTTTTCGAGGATGAAATCGTCGAGATCCAATTCTCATTTTTGCAATTTTTTTTCGTTAGCTACTGTTGTCCCTATCCATATAAATCGCACGGTATTTGCCAATACGTCACAGCATCAGTTTATTCAAATACCTATTTATCAAATAGTCCCGTCTGCTGCCTGGTCCGCGAGGATTTTTTTCTAGTAATATTTCCTTTAGATTTAAACATCGAGCAGTAACATGCTTAAAAAATAAAAATATAACTATTTATCAAAAGTCTGTCAGCTCGCGTCCGCTCTTAAAGCTATTAATGTTGTCCGTGCAAAATCTTTTTCAAAAGATTTTAAAATCGTTTTTTGTGTCTTATTACTGTTTGTATGTGATTTTTAATTTGGTTTTTTCATTTTGTTATTGTTTTTAATATTCTGAAATGTAATCGCGTTAGCTAGAGCTGTAAGTGTACATTATAGTAACTAAATAAATAATAATGAAACTTCCTTTAGGGTCAGGGGTAGAATCGGATCGCCCCCCCTCTTCCATGGAAGAGGAGCCAAAATCCCCGACCGAGAAGAAAGAAGACTGAACGAACGGATCCGTAAGGAATATCCGATATCCGTATCCGAAAATTTCGGATACTCACTAAAATTCGAATGTCAACTCGCCAGCGAAAGGTATCACTTAAAAATAATTGGATATTTTCCAACGGAGTATCTTAGGATGTTGTGATATCCGAAAATTGGCAATAGTAATAATAAGCTGTGTTTTGTATTGGGTTTTCAATATTGGAACATTTTTATAAAGGGCACGGAATTTGATAATTATAATCTCGTGTGTGTGTGCGCCGGCGCTGTATCCGTGATTTACATCCGATATCCGTAATTATATGGGTACCATATAATTACGGATATCGGATTTACTAGTCCGTTTATTATATTAGTTCTGGCGTTGTTTATAAATCGACTCTGTAGTTAATAAATGAGTACTATGACATTTTTATCGATTTCTGGGGATTTTTAAAATTGAATTTAACGTGGGTACATTTTTTTGAAAAAGCTTTGAGAAATGCCAGTGAATGCATAAATGCTTATATTCAAATGTATATGTATCACCAAATTTTCGAAATAAAACTCACGCGTGCCTTGCTTTTTCACGATCTAATATGTTGTATATTTACTTAACTATAACTTAACAGCGAAATAATTACAAAACAACACAGTTAAAATACATCGGAAAAAGACAAACGAAATAATTCTGAACTTTTTTAGAGAAAAGCCCCAGATTTATTTTTATTAAGTTTGGTCGCCATAGAGATGCGATTGTACGAAATATAATTCTCTTTTGGTATATTTTTTGATGATACATTTTGTTAAATTTTTTCGACATAGACATTTGAGGCAGTAAAATCTTCCAGTGTATAGTTTTTTGTCTGGTTCAGTATTAGTAGTAGTCGTATATTCTCGTTCAATGGTTTCCCATACTAGATTTTTTTTCAAATGTTTATTATGAGCAATTTCTGACTTGAAAGATTTTGCAAACTTTCAATCGAATTCGAAGTACAAAAAAGGGGGTTGACAAATGGTCATGCAAGAAAACAGTTAATCAAAATATGGATTTATTTCTGCATGTTGCCAAGCATGAAGTTTAAAGGGGTTTTTTTTAATACTCTAAATGGGAATTTGCAAAGGGTAATTTGACGATGGAAGCACTTATTCTTTGAGCGTGATCTTAGAAATTAGAGCTAACTCTATAGATTATCTGCCACGAGTGCAAGCAATTATGAGTCGAAATGACTTTATTTGCTTTGACATAGATTAAAGCTCACTTGTCTGTGTCTATAAAATCGTTAAAATGTTCTTAACAATAGCAACCCTATGGCAACGTGAAATAAAAAAAAAACTATCACTCAACGAGTCTTGAGTGTAATTGTGTAAATGACAATTTATTTATTATTATTTTGCTCCTATTAAGTTACTACTGAATCTTTAAGTCGTAGAATTAATTATGTTAATGATATATTTTAATTAACCGCATTATTTATTTGGCTGGTTACTTAATATAAGGTTTGCATGTAGTCTTCCCATTGATAAGTAGAGTTTTGAGAATTTATTCCTCAATAATAGTTAGTCCCAGTTATTATGGTCTAGCATGATCTAAATATTTCATTTTATAGATCTAAATAAAAATACTTAAAAACTACTGTATTATTGTACGAATTTGTTATACGAATTTGTCCGTGGTAACATTAGGCTTTTCTTAAGACGATTGTGTTCTAGAATTCTATTTTGTCTACAAAATCTGCCGACAAGAATAGTATTGGAATAACCAATACTAAAAATCTGTACTACTATCGTGTGACATTTTTGTATATGGCAGTACTGCTGAGGCTCGTATGTTGCCACAAAAAAAATAAAAAAGTAAGTTACTCTAAACTAACATCAACCTTAAATTCAATGGTTAATTATCTAGTCAAAGTCATGGATATGGATTATAAACACCAATAAAAATAATGCAGATAACTGTGCACAATTTGGTGTTGCCAACTTTGGTTAAAAGTAATATACTAAAAAGTTGTATTACCAGAAACCGGGTAAAAGAGCATTTACGAACAAATAACTAACTCACTCGTAAAATAACTCTACCTTTTGGTAGCGTTGTGTTTCTGTCGGTATGTAAGTTTCCATGGCTCCACTGGGTAGGGGATGGGTTAGGGAAGGCAACGGACTAACATGTAAAGGACAACTTATGTTACTGAAAACATTTAATTTTTAGTAGCACATTCTTTTCGCACCTACAAAATAAAGCTTAAATGCCAAAAATGTCGCGCGTTAAATTCTTAATTAGCGAGAAATCGGCTAATCAGTAAAAAACATGAAAACTTATTTTTATGGCAAAATAAAAATATTTTTAGCATTTTAACTCCAATAATAAGTAACTACACGACGAGTGCATCACTTTAGAGCAAATAAAATAAAAAAAAATGCATATTTCGAAAAATAGAATTTTGACAAAAAATTTAATTCGAACAATGTGATTACAATCAACAATCGGTCCCTTAGCCGCCATTAATCAGATATTAGTTTAGAATTTAATTCCTTCGACACGAAATTGTAAGTAATCTGTTATAGTAGTGACTATTTTCATAAATTTTGAACTGTTTTCAATTTAGATCATGCGGAAATTAAATATAAAGACGTTAATGCGAACATTAGATCAAAGACCGCAACAAATTGAAGATTTGCCATAAAAAAAGTTTCTTTTTATTGATTAGCCGATTTCTCGCTAATTAAGAATTTAACGCCCGACATTTTCGACCGATATGCTTTATTTTGTAGTGCGAACAGAATAAGCTACTAAAAATTAAATGTTTTCAGTCACATAAGTTGTCTCTTTGCATGTAAGTCGAAGTCTGGTATCGCAAGCGTCTATACCACAGAACACAGAAAGATGTTAGAAGGGCCTTGTGGGCGGGGCAGGCGCGCCACAGTTAGTTGTGAGCAAATGCTCATAACTTGACCAAAACTTGGCAACGATTGCTTTGTTGCGATGGGGTGTGAGCGCCGATTGGTTCGATTGTTTGATGTCACGGCGTTTGATTGGCTAATATCTATTAGGTGTAAGTGTAGTGCGGGCGAGCCGGCGACATCGGTTCCCGTACAAAAGGTCTCTGAAGACCCTTCTAACCTCTTTCTGTGTTCTGTGGTCTATACGGTACAACTACCAACGTTGAACTTTGAATTCAACCAGTAAGGTTGAAATTACATTGAATAATCATGAACTGGGCAATGTTTTTTTTTTATTATTGTAATCATTATTATGTACATTTAACTACTAACAGTGGTTTCTATAACAACTAATACCCAAAACACATTCCCTGTTATATGTAACATGTTTGGCGTGTTTCTTGACAACTCGAGGAAATTTCGACGTTGGACAAAATTATACTTTAATTCATACGACATAAAACGCAAATTAGAGTAACTCAATCCTTCTCAAACTCCAGTTCTAACCAGTTCTTAGGTTTGATGTGAAAGGTACCTTAAGTTGCAAAGATTTGAATTGTTATATTTGGCCCAACCACTATTGCAAGATGAGTGAGAGAGAACTATACAGCTCATTTGCAGTAAGATAGAAAGAGTTAACATCAGTTCTTCGGTTTACGCACCATAAACAATAACAAACTTTTTGAGTGTCTTAGGACATATCTACCTTTTTTAATTTTGCTTAAACTTATTTAATATAATTGTAACGAGCATTCTGCACATGTGTGCACTCGAAATGTGTTCATGAATTGAAAAAAAAATATTAGAAGTATAATATATGAAATGTTAATTTTAGTGTGTTCAAAATTAATACATATTTAACTATGTGGTTTCACAGTGAAACCCGAAGATTTAATTCTTTTGTTTTCGTCTACCGGATTGAAAATGACAATTGAGGAAGAGTATTCCGAAATTTATCTTTGTATTTATTGAATATGCCTATCTCTTTTACACTTTTTTGGTAGAAAAAGGATAAAAGAATTGGCTTGCATATGAATTGAGTTACTCAGTACCTTTTACCGCGTGCTGAAGAGGCGCTATCAGTAGCAACGTTAAACTCACCTAAAATGTATTTTCAACCTTAATATGCTTGAATTAAGTAAAACAAAACAATTGATGAATTATATGACACTTATTTATTATCTCATTTGCTATTGGCCCTATTGTGATTACAGTTGATCAGATTAATACATGAGCTCTATTAAACGTAAGGGACAATTCGAGTATTTTTTTCATTAGTCGTTTTGTAGCGAAGGCACAGCATAAACTTGAAAATCGTCTTACTTGATATTTTAACAGAAATTTATACGACAAAAGTCGACATATTGTCAATTGAAATATATCTTTGCTTTTATTCCCGAATGGGAAGTTTTTTGGGTGCAATCAGCACGTGTAAAAAGGTACTATTGAACCAATGGGGAAGAAAACTGCCAATTTATCTCGCCAGAGGCGCAGGTGTTCAATGGCCCATAAACACAAATCGAGACAACTGTTAAAGTCACACAAAACCGACAAATTACAAAAGACTTGGGCTGCTATCCAAACCTACTCTTTTGGTGCAACAAATGTCAAATTGGACAAAAGTTGCTAAATTGAAACGTAAGGCTAAAGAGTTGTACTTAAAGCGTAGCTTTAGAACGCAGCCTTAAAGTAATAGGTTGCTTGTTATGGGCCAAACGGCCAAATTAATATGTAATGAGCTCTGCGTTTTCTTTCCCATTCATTTGAATTTGTTAATAAAATTAAGGCTACTAATAAAATTTGACAAACATGCTAATAAGTCGAGCTGAAGTGCAATAAGTGCGTAGCATATCTTATCTATTTAACATTACTAGGTACCTACCTATTTGTATTTTCAAATTATAATTTTTGTGTTACAATGAATTCCTCTCAGTTCGGTGATATGTCTCTGGTGGCGTCATTTCTGTTATACTGGCACTTAACATGTATTTGCTTTTTGCCATTTTCACAGCAGGTGGTCCTTATCATACTCTATAAAGAGTGAAAAGGAGAGATTGTAGTCAAGTTTACAAATAGCAAATACGAGTAGCAATGTGAAGTGCCAGTTTTAGACACAACTTATAAAACTGCTTCGGTTTAGAGACGGCTTTTAGATGTTATTATTCTAAGTTTGGGATATTGTAAATGAAAACTTTAAGGAAATCCGCTTCGCGATTCATTAAGTTCTTTACAACTGGCTTGCATTTGAATCGCATTTACATCACTACTGGTATCGACTGATTGGCATGATTCTCTTAACTTAAAACTAAATAATGACAAAGATACACTGTTGCCAAATTTAATTTGAGGTTTCGAGAATCTTGCCAGAATCGACACCATTATAATAATAAAATGTTCACTCTTAATGCATTAAAATTTGACATGCCTATTATTGTAGGCACCAAAGTTGTGAGGACTGTGCGACAAGGACTTTGAATTGAACTAATGGAATTTAACTCATGCCGAGATGAGATCAGTGATGACGCCACAGAATAATGTTATCATCGTTCCTTTTTTAAAAGATCCGTAGTATGTAGGCTTTGATTATTTATACGCCTAGCTAGATAGAGCAAAACAAATAAATCACGCACGAAAACGGCTCACGTTACGCGAAATGTGTGCATGTGTAGCGACGAGCATATCTACCATATGTAGTAGATATTTTTTCTGCCGCTTCTGTGCAGTTAATACGGTACCTATCTAGTTAGGGTGTATATAATGTCAAAGCATGTAGGTATCAATATTGCAATAAAAGTTGGACTAGCGTGACGCATACAAAAGAAAAGAATTCTCATTTTGTATTGTAAATACGAAGAATGTCAAGTGAATAGTGTTGTTGAATTGTTATTTATTGCTTGTAATGTTGATTAGTTATTTTATAATGGAACTAATATACAAGTACCCAGTTAATTGAAGTTTTATTTTACCCCTTCCCAGGGCTAGATTTCCGCAGAATATAGAGAAAGATATAGCAGAATGTATATACCTACCTTTCGCACCGATCTGCACAGTTTTTGAACAGGGAACGCTCATCTGTACATTCTTTCATTTCTCTGTGATTATATGGATATGATAAAACGCATACGAATGTGAGCGACGAAGCGCTTATGCTTAATTTTTTGCGCTCTTAATTTCTTATATTGATAGACGACATTTATTTTTGCGCATTTGCTGTCCACGTACCTTTGCAAAAAAATAAGCAGCGCAAAATCTATGCTTTACAATCGCTTCATCTCTTACATTTGTATGCCTTTTATATCATATTCACATCATCACATAGAGAAATAAAAAAGCAAGTGCCGTTTTTTCGAATAATAAACAGTGGCTGACTGGCCGTACGATAAGGACTTCTTTGCCTTCACAATAAGATTGTCAGTATCAGCTGTCGCTGTCAATGTCATAAATGACAATGACAAGTAGGGGGTTTTTGGCGGGATTTCATCGAGTGCGGTTGGCGTCTTATTTTAATTATTCTTAAATTTGTTCATAGTGGATATTGTGAAATAAAATTGGTGTGATTTTGTGTTACAACCGTCTGCGCAACTGAAGAATTAGTGGAATCTTTGAAATATACGCTATTCCGGTCAAGTGGACGTGAGAATTTTATTGTAGTATTGACTACCTCACAGAAGCTTATCGAAAAAGCCACCTCGATATATTTCGTGCCAAATACTCCAAGAAGCATTAGAATGCGTCACACCCACATTCTAATGTAAAAAAAAGGAAGATTAATACAAAAATAAGACGATGGCTGCATGGCTATGCCTTTGCCTTTCTCAATAGAGAAGAATAAAACTAAAAAAAAAAAAAACAATGACAAGTAGCTGACGGCAACGGCAAAGCTGCACGGCTTAAATTTTATCAATTTAATTTATACTTGTTGGGTGTGCGATTTCTATTAATACACTGGCTTATCAACGTTCATTAATATCGAGAAGCCACAAGACACGCAACTTAATCGCCACACCTCTGTGATACGACAATATTTTATCGTTTAGTGGGTATTAGTACGTCACTTTAAATGTTTGCATACTGCATTAGGCACGTACCTTTGCTGTTGTGTTAAAAATGTTAAAAACCTTCTTACCTATTGTGTAAGTTCAAGTGTAAATAAACTTTCCAAAAGTTATAAAATATTGACGAGTGTATAACCTAACTGTAGTGATCTTTTGTACCTGTAATTTACGATGTCTTCTGTATTGAATAATTTCACCGTTTCCGTTGCAAAAGGTTTAAAACGTAAGTATTTTACCAAATTATTATTCTCATAATACGAATTCACATCCGAGGCCGGGTGGAGTTATTTTAATCGAGCATTCTCAAAAATAAAATCTGAGCTTACCTCCGTCCAAATACAAAAGAAACGATCTTATTCAGAGGGTTTAGAATAAAAAAACCATTTCATTTTAATTTTGGCAATAGTAAACCATTCTGAATGTTTAATATTCAAACTTCAAAGGTAGTCTTTTAAAAATATAAAATGTTCTTGGTACTCACTAGTTTCATATACTTATGGCTGTCCATGGAAATAAGATTAAATTGAACACCAACCAATTTTGAAGATAAAAGCATTGTCTGCAAAACAACTGAACTCTATGTACAAATATTTGGACATTCATTCAACATGAATTTTTATGCTTTGTTTGTTTTTTTTCTAAATTAGGGCCCTAGGATTCTGTAGGCGTTTGGCCATTAATTAAGACTTAGGCCCGTATTATAGAATGATTCTCGGCGATTGATCTAGTCTTGAGCATAGTTCGAAGGGGATATCGCTATATGCTATAAATAGCGATATCCCCTTCTAGCTGTACTCGAGTAAAGATTAGTTGTCATTCTGTAATACTAGCCTTAGGTTTTTTAAAGTAGCTAACAAGTATAATCTGTATCCCAAGTGTCATATAATGACACTTTTATTTAGATACTATTTAAACACTTCACGTTACCACAAAAAAGATAGACATGCATTCAACACAAGTTTAATAAAAATAGTAATACCAAATTTGTTTAAACAAGGTTTGAAAAATTTAATTAAAGAAAATACCTATTAAGTATTAAAGATTTTTTTTATTATAAGCACTACTGAACGTGTCATGATTGTTAACATACAGCTGAAGTTAATTGAAGTTAATTGGCTGAACAGGAACATGTCTATTTAAAGTAGATGTTATGAGCCTATGTTTGATTATTTAATGTTTTATGCTAGCACTTCACATGGGTATTTGTATTTGCTTTTGTACTTTTGACTGCAATACATATTCAACATGCTCTGTACTCTATAGCAATATTTTTTCTTTCTTTTTCATTTTGGGCTGATAGTTTTTAGCATTCATTTTAAATGTTTAATATTATGGTATACTAAGAGTAAAATAATCATGCACGCTGTGATTGTCTATAAACTTTGTATAATAAGTTTAAGAATTTGTATAATTATGTAAGACACATTGTAACAAATGTTGACAAACCAAATAAATAAAATAATACTGTGCACAGTTATTGATGAATAAACATCAATGATCCTTGGTGAATTTAAGAAAACACATTTATTTATTTAATCTATTTACATATTAATATTTAAATTACAAAAGCTTAAAACTAATTATTGTCTAAAAACAATCATCTAACATCACAGTTATCTCCCTATAGATATATATAGGGAAAGTTCTTAAATTTGCATAGTTCATTAATCTATCACATATTATTGTGAAATGTTAATACCATATACAATAGTCATTTTTTCAATGATTTCATCAGAAATCGGACCTTATCTTTTGCTATAGATTGCTAAGAAGTTCGTTTCATTGGCCACTTGTCATGAATGACTTGAATAAAAATAATTATATAAGTTTTAAAGTGATTATTTGACCTGATCACACACAAATTGTGTAGGTACCTACATTAATTTATAATTTGTGTACATTTTAATGAAACATGATATTTATTTGAATTTGCATGTTATCATCAATTAATTTACTATATAGTTTTCACCTTACATTAATATTAAGTTGTTAAATTGCTTATCAACTTCCACATTTATTTGGAAATCATAATTAACCCAAGCTATTGAGTATGTTAGAATTTATGCTCACATTGCACTTTATTCATTATTTTGTTAATTTGAGGGTTAAAAAGCTGTTATTATGAATTTGATCCTACTAAACAAGTCATAAACAACAGACAGTTGATTATCAAAAAATAATGGACACATTTTTTCTTTTGTGATTCAACCAAAGAATTTCAGACATTGTCATTATGTGGCAAATTAAAAAATATATGTTTCCAATATTTTTTTCTATCTACCTGACAGATGAACAAAAAAAGTTAGTCTTCATCCCCCTTGATGTCAACGATACCTAATTTTTATGGATTCATTCTAAAATAAAAATGCTAGCAAAAGTGATATTAAAGCTTATATGTATTTGTGACCCACAGTACTATTTATGCAATATAAATGTCCTTGCTTTTATTGCTTTTAATATCTTGATGTAGTTATTTATCTTCCTGTTTTGATTGCATTAATTAGATGACATTTATAGCTGCAGTTAATGCGAGAGAATATTTATGTAAGTAATATTATGTTTTGTAAGTTTCCATACCTTCTAATAACTTACAAATGAAGATAACTCATCTTTGAATATTAATATTACTTTAGCTACTTTTATCAGACAATTTGCTGTGTCTATTTTCATCGTCATTAGCCTATTAGGCGCTTTGCAGACGACGGGGCGGGGCGGGCCGGTCAATTTCGTCGCGAATAATAGCACAAAGTGAATCCTTTACTTCAAACGCACACAGCGGTCAAAAAGACCGCGCCGCGGGTGCCCGGCGGGCAGTGGCGGCGCGGCATGTCCGCGGCTGCCCGCCGTGGATCATACAAACCAGTTTATATGCAGTAACGCAGACGGCGGCGCGGGGCGGTCATGGACTATTCACTAGAACGAACGTCCTAAACTGACCGCCTCTGCCCGTCGTGTGCTTTGTGTACGCGGCGCGGGCAGCCGCAGACATCGACGGGCAGACGCGGTCTTCATTGCTTCGCGGACAAAATTCCCGCCCCGGCCCGTCGTCTGCTCAACGCCTTAATGTCACCGCTGCTTTGGCACAGGCCTTTTCTATAGATGGAATAGGGAGATTGGGCAGTGACCCACCACGCGGGTCCAAGGCGGATCGGTGGGTGCTAATGACTGCAGTCCCTGTAGCAAGAGCACTACAATTACCATTATATCACGTTTTTTATCGCGTCTGTCAAACCCCATAATAATTTGACAGTTGAGCGTGATAAAAACGCGTTATATATCATATCACAGTGATCATGCTAGGGCCGGCTCCAACGGCTTAACGTGCCTTCCAAAACACGGAGGAGCTCGAGATAGTAAATTTTTGGACACCCATCCAATGACCGATTCTATTGGTTATTATAAATATCAAACAAGTATATTGATGACTAGTGGCCCGCCCTCGCTTCGCTTCGGTGTAGAGCTGTAGTGTAAACTATAGTTTTTGTTCACAGGCTTGTGCTATAAAGAATGACTTTATTTATATAATTACACGTGTTATTGTGAATCAACCATAAAAGATAGACATATGCTGTTGCAGGATATTTTTTAGACAATTTTATGTAGAATATTTCCGTCATACATGATTTCTATGTAACTTTAACCATTAAGGCTGCACCCACGACGGAAGCTTAAAAAATGGAGTAACTTCTCCCGTTTTCCCAACATTTCCCTTCACTACTCTGCTGCTATTGATTGTAGCGTGATGAAAAGTATACTATAACCTGCCCAGGAGTATGAAGAATAATTGTACCAAGTTTCGTTAAAATCCGTTGAGTAGTTTTTGTTTCTATAAGGAACATACACACAGACAGACAGACAGACAAAAAATTTACTGATTGCATTTTTGGCATCAGTATCGATCACTAATCACCCCCTGATAGTTATTTTAAAAATATATTTCATGTACAGAATTGACATCTCTACAGATTTATTATAAGTATAGATGACAGCAAGTGACTCCAGAGCTTATAGACACTTGCAGTGGCAGAGTATCACTCTTGCGTTACTTACTCCGATCCTTTTCCTGAGAAGTCTCAGAAATCTTAGGGTGTTATTAGACCAATCGATCGATCGACGGAATCGGTCAACCTCGATCGAAGTTGATCGACTGATCTGGTAGTTTTATTTGATCGACGGACGGAATACTGTTCGACTAACTAATCGATCGATTACTGGGGGTCTACCGCCTATGGTTATAGTTATAGCTTATCATTATATTTTGTTATTTCTGACCGCCGAAGGTTTTCATATGCCTCGAGCTCTCTTTTTTTATTTTGCATTGGTAATAACAATATTTAAGAAAATGACAGGTGAGGTAGGTATTTGAAAACTAAAAACAAAACAACAAACAAAAAAGAAAGTCGGCGGTCAAAAATAACAAAATGAAATCATAAGCTATAGCAATCCTGATCGGCGGTAGGCTTCCTGATCGATGGCATGGCATCATCAGTCTCGAAATTTTTTCACAAGAGGACATAGTTGTTGGTCAGCACGATGTTGTCCATATTGTTATTATGGGGACGCAAACGCAGAAGACGCAGCTCGATCGACGTCGACTAATCTAATCTACCATCGCTCGATAGTCGTCTGGTAAATACTATCGTCCGACGTGGACGAATCCATTCTATCTACGTTCGGTGCCGTCGATCGATCGATGGGTTTGGGTAACACCCTTGCTCATGTAAGGTGGAGCCTACTTTCTCAGACAAGCATTCTAACTAGTCTAAGCTTATTCCTCGTTTATTAATAAGGGTGTTAAGGCACAGCAGACTAGAAGCCTTAAATTTAGAATACATTAAAATTTAAGTACATATTTTTTTCTTAAGATACTGTTTTAGGTCCGTATTATAAGAAGAAGGAGGACGTATTATAGGAAGATTCTTAGTGACTGATCTAGTCTTGGGCGTAGTTAGAAAGGGATGTTGCTATATATAGCACATAGCGACATCCCTTTCTAACTGTACTCAAGTAAAGATCAACACTTAGTTGTCATGCTGTAATACGGGCCTAAGTGTTTTTGAGAACAAGATAACCAACTCATAAACATACATTACTTCTATCTAAGTAGATCTTCAGATAATTTATAGTTATACTAGAAAAATCTTGACAATTCTTAAGCCATCTCTCTTATCACGAGATTGCCCTCATATATCTCTCATTTGTCTAGAGGTGGTTGCTGTTATAAAAAAATTCCATTAATAACATTCAGCACATTATGTAGGTCACTTTTGTTTTGAAGTAGGTATAATTTTATCTCTAGCTATTGCGGCCCTGACATTGAGCTAGTGGGGCACTGACATGCTTGTGCGGAATATGGGCTCATTTATAGATATGATTCCATATTCTCTATACCCTCCTGACCACTCGCGGGTTATGCATAGGGCATCAACTTTGATGAATTTGACGCCGAATCTATTGGTAGAAATATCTAAAAAGCTATTTATCTATATCTAAAATTTTCAAATTACCTTTTCCTTTATTTTAATACCGTTTGAAAAAACCTGGCAATCGTCATCAAATTCGTAAACATTTAATATCTCCACGGGTAAGGAGGATACAGAAGACTATTTTTGTATAAGAGATGCAAGGATTTTTTTTGTTTCCTCCCAGGCGGAGGAGCTGGTGAGAAATCCTCATGGATAACCTACAGCCGGCTGCAAGGTTATGTCAGACTCGTACTGACTAAAAAACACCCGTAGGGGCTGCCTCTGGCCGGGAAGGTCTCTAAGGCTTCATCGGAAGCGATCGTCCCTCAGGGGGGGAGCGAAATTACGCACCTCACCTTATATAATAACCATAGAGCAACGCGGCCAGAGAGTGGGCATTCACAGCGTTCCCCTCTGTCGATTTTCCCCCGCTGTTGGGCCAGCGCAAAAACAAAAAAGTTGCGCGTCGCATATTTCACTACACTGAGTCAAGTCGCGCGAGTGTATGCTAGAGATCAAAAATGCCAAAATGTTATGTAATTTGCTGTAAAACATATCTGAAATATTAAAGTTACAAAAGGATGGTGTTAAATTACACATATAAGTTTTTATTGGGCGGTAGGCATAAAACAAATAACATCGTTTTCCATCTCACGAAATTTAAATCTGATTAATAATTACAGAAATTGTTGCAGTTTTCACAAATTGTGTATAAATTAAAAGAAGAACTTACGTGAGTTAACATATTCTGTAGGCAACACTTTTGGATGGTTAAATAGAGAGTTATACCACACACATCCCTACCTTCACTACCACTCTCACTACTTTATTATATTTTCGCTATTTAACAATTAAATCACTCCTGGAACGAAACCATGGCAAGTGTCGCAGCAGTCTTGGAAACCCAAAAGTCTTTGCTGGGTGCGGAGACGCGGAAGAATCCCTAAACGGGGATCCCGCGGTTTCGCACTATACAGCTTAGAGGGTATTCGCAGGGTTTTTAGCAGATGTTATGCCGTAAAGCGCCCGTAACAGTTACGGGTTCCTCAGTGGGCAGCCACTGCGGGGGCTCGTAAGGCTTGCGGGAGCCAGGTGTGAGGTCCGTTCGGCGGTGTGCCTCTTAAAGGCGCCGTTGTCTGTAAACAGAGGTTTTGCCTGCGTCACAAAAAGCAAAGTACATGGTCGTGTTAGTGACCATGAAAGTTTAAAACCATTCAAAGATCCAGTCAATGCAATGATTATCTTTTATTGATCTCTTCCAGGTCTTAGGCCAAAGAAAGAGCTATACGAATCCTTGCTCCCGGGTTGCAGTAACTCAGTTCACAATAATACACCGAAACTCAAAATGGAGAAGTGCCTCATCGTGTCAAAGGTCACAAGATACGAATACGAGAAGTAAGTAAATATTTAAATGCACTTAGTGATATGATTAAAAGTTGTCGATTCTGGTTCGAACCGTCTCCAGTACAACGATGGGAACTGGTACAAAACCAGTTTAATGTTCAATTATCGACACGGTTAAGTTTATAAGATTTTTGAAGTGAAAACTTCTTTAGCGGCGTTGTACACTTTTTTTGTATGTAAAAAATGTTAAACTCGCTTCAGGTTATACACGTGGGCTGATCGCATCATGACACACAATAAAATTGGAAAGGTTGTTGACTTACAATATATTGGACGAAACATAGTAATATTTTATTTTATCGTATTATAATAATAAGTCTCTATCTAGGACGTCCACATGGCAACTTTATTGCGAAGAAAATGCATTTTTTACAATAGATGTCGCTAAGTGCGCATAAACGTGATTCATGTAACTTGATTTTTCTGAGAGATAAAAATAGAAATAATAAATATAAGAAAAAGAATAATAAATAGAGATAAACTTTTTTAATGTAATATAAATTGTCATGTTTGTGTACGATAGCGCAATAAATAAATATTGTATTCTACCACACACATGATATTACTTTTAAACTGATCATTAAAGCAATTAGTGCAAAATTATTTCCTAACCATTCCAAAATATCAAAAATGCACAACGTTAATATTCAAGTTTTCACTGCTGCCGGCACTCCCGGAGTGCAACCCGTCGTTTTTTTTTTGTTTAATTTAGTTAGGAGGAGTTTATTGAACTTTAAAAGCTTAAAAAGCTAATGCCCCACGCAGTCCAGGGACTTATTTCCGCCAAAATAGATCGCTTACAACTTTTAATCCGTCGTGTACTTATGAAATTACACGAGGAACTAAAAGTAAGTCCCCTGAACAACGAGGACACCGAGAGCCGGAATGGACAAAAGTATGCGGGTGTTCTCGAAAAAGTAGAACTTATGTGATTAGGCGCAGCATCGCATACAGCGAACTTTAAGTGTCGCCGCACACGAGCCACCGACCACAACCACAAAACGCCGCCACCAGCATATATCTTGTAGTTGTCATACATTTGAAATGGACAAGCCACACACGGTACGCTGGTGGCCGCCACATGCTACAAATCGTCGTTGCTCGCTTCTTGTGGCCCGCGCCGGCCACTTAATGCGCCGCTACAAAACGCCGCCACACGTCACTCGCGCGATTCCCCACCCCTCTCTACCTTACCTTAGTCGGCCGCTGTCGCGCGCTTCAGCCACTTTAGTAGCCGCTTCTAGCTTCGTTTCTCGTGGCAGCGTTTGTGGCTGTGGCGTGTGGCCCCTGTGCGGCGACACTAAACTGCGTTGTGCGTTCGATCCGATTTAAAGACATGGACCCAGTATTCTCTCTTTTTCTTAAACTTCGTGTGAATTGCAACATAACGTAAACTGAGAATATATACTTCTATAGCGTGTGTTGCTCTAAATTTTTGGGCAAAAAATGTTCACACATGGTTTGCGTTGTACCTTCGTCTGCGCAGGCCATAGTATTATTATACAAGAACTGAAATAAATTAAAAATTCCTATCTTTTTCTTAAACTTAATTTTTATTACAACACAACGTAACCTCACAGAATATTCTTACATTGAACATTCTGACATTTTCTTCACGATTCAGGGACTTTTGTCCGTGGATGACTCCCTCGTCTCTAAGAATCTGTCTCTAGAATATGTTAGAGCGTGAAATCATTTTAAGTACCTAGGTATTACCGAAATATGAAGTTGTTAACCATTTTACTTAGGTAGCTACACAGATCAATCATTCAGTATGTATTGACGTTTTGTTTTAAACTTTCATGGTCACTAACATTATAGTAATTTATGTTATTTACGGGATTATTACCATGTACTTACCTTGTTTTTAGTCATCATGGAGTATGTTAAGGTACTCCGTGATCATGGCGCTTGCAATAGTGCGGAAGTATCGGAAACTCGCTAAAAACAAGGTACATGCTAATAATCCCGTAAACAACATAAATTACTATAATGTACTAGCGGCCGTCCCGCGACTTCGTACGCGTGGAGTTAGTTAGAAATAAAGGTTCACTGCTCGTTCCCCGTAGTTGACCCGACTTCTTAATAATGTTCGTGCCAAATTTGAAGTAACTTCATGCAGTACTTTTTGTGTTTATCCCGGACATACATACAGACAAACTGAAAAAAAGTCTAAAAACTATATTTTTGAATTTGGTATTTATTGTAGATCACACCACAAGTATTCTTTTAAAAAAATATTCAATGTACGTTTTAGACTTTCCTACCATTTTATTATATGTATAGATTGATATCGTTTTAATGTCACTTATAATTTTACCATATCATAAATCTTCAGCAGTTTCTTAATTAACACATTTTAATTATAAATTATCTACCAAAGTCTTGTAACGAGCATGTTTCTGTCGTGTTTAGTTAATGGCTTAAAATTTTCGGTAGGTAGTTGAATCTTCGTTTACACAATGAAGATACAGAAGGTAATCTAAATACAAAATATGCTCGAGCAACGCACTCATAGACAGAAGCTCACGGACACGATATCTCGGACCAATCTGGACCACTGCGTGCACGAGTTCCATTCGCTTGAGATACAGTCTATGGACGCTTTTGTGAAAAATTAAACGGTGAATTGTATTTTTTTTAAGTTTTGTATTATAAGTTGTAACTATAACGTTATGAGGTTATACATATTTCCGTTCTTTTTGTTTCGTTCTAGACAATAAATCAAACAACTAGATACGAGTACCACTACCGCGATAGTTTTTGGTGTACAAGCCAAAGTTGACATTCCTAGAGCGACCGCCGAACGTAGGTACGCAAAGTGAAGTACAGGCAGTCCTCGACTTACGTCATTTCGATTTAAGTCGTTTCAAGTGACGTCTAACGTCTTTGACACTATTCCTCAAGCATACGTCAATTGTTTCGATTTTTGGCATAGGAGAATTCACTTGTCGCAGGTCAATGTCTGTGGGGCCGGCGCCGGCGTCTGTGGGGATGTCTCGACTTAGTTCGTTTCGATTTACGTCGCGTATTTCGAGAACCTGACATGCCGTAAGTACGAGGACAGCCTGTACATACATGAGATTACCTTCTGTACTATCAATTTTGTGCCGTTAATCTGCATATCGTAGTTATCATTTGTGATATCTATAAACTAGTCATAATTGGTATGAGTTAAGTAATATCATGTTTAGGTCATAGTGTAACCATATGCGTATTATATTTAATCACGCTTGCTATATTTAGAAGCCAGCCGCGTGTATAATTTCTGTTTCTTAAACATTATCAATGTCTCTAATCAACTTGAAATAAATTTGTTTTCACATGTCGGTAAAAATACTCTGTTTTTTGTTATTCGCAACATACATTTTGTTATTGTATTGCCTTTAGATGTATTTTTGGTACCTCCAAAGTTATTATGATAAATTAATTCACGGTTTATCTTTTATATTTGCTTTTATAATTCTTCCAGTTTATCTGGATGACGTAGTTGATGTTTCGAAAATATTTTTAATCTAGGTTACGTCAGGATAATAGATAAGACTTTGGCTGTATTTGCGTTGTGTAGAAATGCGTAGATCAATAAAAAACCCAACATTTGCGACCAGTGCCGTCTTTGACCTATTGGAGGCCCTGGGCATATTAGGATAATGGGGCCCCTATGACTTCCATTTGGTGATTTGACAGGAACTAGGGACTTTGTATTTGATCTGAGGGGGCCCCCCCTATCGATCGCGGGGCCCTGGGCACTTGCCCAAAGTTCCCACTGGGAAAGACGGGTCTGTGTGCGACTAACATTCGGAGGCGAAGAGTTCTTTCTGTATAAGATTTTACTCTCTCGAAATGCTAAACACATTTTGCATGTGGTCATCCCATTTAATTTAATTTCTGTTTACAACTAGTGGCCATTTTTAGGAGCAAAATTACATTTTTTAGTCACATTTGTGGAATTCAGTTTTTTTAATGAAATGATTTTTTGTAAGTTTATTTAATGGGGTTTCAAATGAAACCAACATTAAAGGGGGTACATGCGCGTGTTAAGGGTTAATAATGCTTCCAAGTAATTTTCGCGTAGGTGCGATTTATTTGACGCTTAGTGTAGGTAAGTAAAATTTAACTACCTAACTAGGGTTACCATCAGACAGGCATTCGCCAGGCATTTTACGGCTTAGACAGGCGTGCGGCCGGCGCTAAGCTAAGACAGGCATTTGCGAATTTCGCGCGTCGCTCACGTAGCTACGACCAGACCCCTCTTTCCCAGTGGGCACTTTGGGCAAGTGCCCAGGGCCCCGCGATCGATAGGGGCCCCCCTCAGATCAAATACACAGTCCCTAGTTCCAGTTAAATCGCCATACGGGGGTCATAGGGGCCTCATTATCCTAATATGCCAAGGGGCCCCAGTCAAAGACGGCACTGGCCATGACACGCACGCACCGTGCACGGTGAGCCACACGTCCGTGATGGTGCGTGATGAGCGTAGTCCACGCAATGCATTAACGGAAGAAAGAGATAGCGCGAATTTGCGGGACGCTTTCTTTACGTTCAACGAACGAATTAGAAGACAGGATAAAATAGGATTAGTTTTTTTTGTTGGCTTTGGCATTGGCATTTTTCTGAAAAATCAGGCGCTTTGTGCATTCTAGACAGACTTCATCCCTGAAATGGATGGTAACCATAGATGCAACTTACAGTTAGTGATGATAATTTCAACTGAACCAAATTAGGGTTCATGGTATGAAATACAGCCTTCTGATAGACTTAGATGCGAAACCCGAAACAGTACTTTTATAAGCTACACAGTCATCATTATCATTGAAATGAATGAAATGAAATGAAATTATACTGTATTCAAACTGATTTATTGAAAACTCTTTTGAATCGCCAAAATATTTTTTCTTATCACCCATTTACGTGCAGGACCCATTCATTACGTTGCAATAAGAATGCTCTGTGTAGACCAAGTGTATCTATCTTCTTTTGCGGCTTCGTCTGTACAATTTCTACACACTAACAAAATATATGATTTGCGTTTAAAAGCGATTAGTAATGTTGTTGTCACACTTATGGATCAATTACACTTGGTCGTTAGCCCGAATTCGGGCTCCCGAAGCAATATTTACACTGGAATACCGACTGGAAGACGGTGTACGGTAAACATAAGGAAATCTACCCGAATTTGGGCGTACTCGACTCCGTTCCTTTACACTTAGTTGTTTACCCGAATTTCATTGGCAATCGTATTCGAACTAACGATCAGGTGTAAGTGAGCATTCTCTTGATATAAAAATAGAACAGGCTATCACCCTCGGTAATTAAAAGTGTGAAATAAGAAATGATAAGAGAACTAAGTAAATATATTTTTAAACGTCTGTAGACTACGCCGGTGTTCATATTTTGCAGATAACACTACAAGTAGGTAAAACTGTACCCCTAGCACAAACCATTATCGAATTCGAATAGTTTGCAAACCGAAATGTCAATGTCAAATTTTGTTTGAAAACTTGCACAGCAGCGGCACAAAGTATGTAACGAGAACTAAAAATCAGTACACATTTGACAATAACATTTCGGACTCGCGAACGATACGAATTCGTTATTGGTTCGTGCTAGGGGTACTGAAGTCAACTTGATGGAAACCATATTAGCACAAAAAGTATTTAAGAACTACCTTAATGTAATGTAAGGTATTTTTCAATTTTTATTTATTTAAACTTAATTGAGGAGCAGCTCGATGGCGCAGGTGGCTAGCGCGTTCGGCTGCAATCGTTGAAGTTAAGCTTTCGCAGTGGTCGGTCATTGGATGGGTGACCAAAAATCTTCTATCTCGAGTTCCTCCGTGCTTCGGAAGGCACTTTAAGCCGTTGTCCCCGGCTGCATCTGCAGTCGTTAGCACCCGCCAATCCGCACTGGGCCCGCGTGGTGGGTCATGGCCCAATCCCCCTATTCCATCCATAGGGAAGGCCTGTGCCCCAGCAGTGGGGACATTAATAGGCTGATGATGATGATGATGAAACTTAATTGCCAAGCATAAGCAAACGGCGGACTTTAATGCCATAGGCATTCTCTACCAGTCAACCAGTATGAGTGTTGGAGACAAATAGTATGGCGATAGGACAAAGTTGCTAAAATTTGAATAAAATGAAAATTAACATAATAACAGCAATAAAAATAATATCTACTATAAGGTACTACTAGTAAAGGGGTATCCACGCACGAAACTATTTGGAATTTTGATAGTTCGCTCGATCATTTTTTTATTCCTAGAAAAAAGTCAGACTAAAGATGCAAAAACAGTTTTTTTTCTATCATGAAAAAAATCTTTTTAGTAGCATGTTTTTTTTTCACGAGTACAGAATTCAAGATTATTTATGGAATTATCCGTTGAAGATGAATACTAATGGGTTTATATTCAAGTTTTCTGTATATTTTAAAACCTAGCACACTTTTCTGATTGAAAATTACCAATCAAGCCAAGACGATACGAGAGGTGTATGGGAAAATCCTCGAATTCCCCGTTCGGTTTATGTTTGTATGAAATATGAATGCAGTTAATACAGCGCATTTGAAGAATGTTACTTTTTTAAAGCTACATTTCCGATCAGACATAACTTCCATTGTAAAATATAGATTTTTTAAGAAAAATGAGCAAGGGTCCTAAGTTATTTTTTATGTCTTTTTCAAAATGATGTATTTTTTAGGTTTACATCATCACCTGTAATAGATAACGAAACCTGCCCCTTTTAAAAAAAAAAAAAAAAATCTCGGATCAAAAGATAGCATGTGACACTGTACTCGAATTCCAATTATGTGTTATCAATGTGTAAGAATGTTATCACAAATTCATGATCGAATTTATTGATGATTGGATAACAGTTATAGCCTGTGCTGACGAGTCCTTCGCGAAAAAAAAGTCCCTGAATCGCAAAAAAAATCTGCCAAGGACTTGCCACGGACTCAACACAACGATGTGCGAACATTTTGTTGCCCGAAAATTTAGAGTAGTGCATGCTATAGCCAGTCTAAGACTGGGCGCACATAGAGATGGGATTTTACCCGGAAAAAACCCAAATGTGGGAAAAAATAGGGAAAAACCCAGGGAAAATTCCCGAATGGGACAATATTAGGGTTTTTTCATATTTAGTATATGTAACATGTAAGTAATGTGTAGATACATGTATATATCAAATAGTACGTACTATTTAAGTACTATTACTACTAGTTAGAGCTAATCTAACTTTGTTTATTTTCACAATTCATTATGTACGATAAATATACTCCTTGTTATCTAATTAAATAAAAATCCTGTCTGTTTGTTTATTTATTTTATTTTTATTAAGTATAATACCATCACAATGCACAGAACAAATCTTATAATAAAACAAGAAGACATCATTTTGTTGTTATAATAAACTGCCGGTTTTATATTAGTTCCTGAATCAGGCTACATATTTTGACGATTCGAACAACAGGCAACAGCTAGTGCCCTATATACGCTGGCGCAAAGTATGTGCGCATCGCAAAGACCCTATTTTTCGCTACATTTGTTCTAAAAAAATGATTTTTTTTAAAGGTCGCGATAATTACGGTTAATAATGAAAATACCAGTCTATTGGTTTTTTTTCCCACATAAATACCGAGGTTTTTTCCCAAATGGGAAAAAACTTGGGTATATTCCCGTTGGGTTTTTTCCAACTGCCCATCTCTAGGCGCACTTGTACGGTTTCCTGATCAAGAATTCCGATTCGGAAATCTGAATGCACATCCGTGCATACAAAATGTTGAACGAGGCGCACACAATTATATTTTTTCAGAATGGAAAATAACTTAACGCTCGTTTCGGACTCGTAACTAATAAAAAAACCGAAACGTCTGCCTACGTAGATCCCGGAATTCCTAATCTGTCCCCGTAGCATGAGCACCACAATTGACAGTATATCACGTTTTCTATCGCGCCTAACTGTCAAACTCCGTAGTAATTTGACAATTGAGCGTGATAAAAACGTACTATAAATCATATCGCGGTGCTCATGCTAGGAGGCTGAATTCCCGAGGAAACCGTACATACAATATACATAATAATAATAATAAATTATTTATTTGTTTCAACATACAATTGGTACAATACACAAATAGAATGACAGTAAATTTTAATTGAAACATACATGCGTACCTCTTACAACCTGGGATCTTTTAAAAGAGGCGTGAAGAAGCAACATGCAGGCCGGCAGGGTGAGGATGGCTGGTGTGGCAGGTAGAACTGCTGTATCAGTTATCTTCGCGTCTGGACTTCACCTTCACTTAACATCAGGTGGGGTGCAGTCATTTGCCGGACGGATTCGGCGGATTAAAGTTCGCTGTGTGCGTTGCTGCGCCTAGTCACATTAATTCTAGTTTTTTTTGCGGGGACACCTGCGTCCTTTCGTCCTCGGTTTGTCGGGGGATTTTTTGTACGCGGTACATTAAGCCCTCGTGTGCGTTACTCAATGCAGTTGTAAACGATCTTTTTCGGTGATAAGAAAAGGCTGCGCGCAGAAATCCATCGTTTGCGCAGGTTATACTTGGTTCAGGGTAGGCAACGACGCGAGCACGGTAATATTATCTATACAGTATTCTATCTTCATACAAACGATCGGAAAGCGTGTCATACCTACGCCACTCGAGTTCGCGCGGCACCCGGTGGGCATCCAGTCTCGAATGCGCCGCAGCGACGACCGAACGGTGTCAATTGTTTTTTAAGCAGTTAGCAGTGCTTAAACGTTTGTATTGTGAATATTTAATTGAATTAAGCAGATACCTACATAATTTAATATGACAAAGAGCAATAGTCGATATTGTGCTGTTTTTGGTTGCTTGAACTCTTCAATAATTAAACTTTTTATACGAATGCGTATTTATTATACTATTAAATTTAATAATTAAACTTTTCGTACGTCTCAGTCGAGGCGTATTTTTCTGTCTCAAATCTTTTTTTTTTTTTTATTAAATATAACACTTAAAATAACATGTATTTTATGTAACACTTACTAATTCATTCACAACATTTTTTTTACATATATTATGAAATAAAATATTTACGATCATAAAACTAGAAAGAAACTCAATTATGTAGATGAAATTAAAATTCTGTAGGCGGGCAGCCCTACCCCGTGGATACGCCCCGCTCGGCCGTAGGCAGTTATTTCAAGGACAGGGCCGAGTCAAAATACTGTATAGATAATATTACCGTGGCGCGATTGATATTTTTTACATGTCAAGCGCCCGCCTGATGGTAAGCGGCCACCATAGCCTATAGAGGTTTACCATCAGGCGGGCCATATGCTGTCTTACCACCCTTTTAAAATACGTAAATAAAAAATAACAACTTCTCCAGGCACTGTCACGAGAACATAACAGACTCTGAATTGGAAAGGATACTTCGGAAACGAGGTTCAGACTTCGACTCCCTCCTGCAAAACCATAAGGAACAGAAAGCGTTCGAGGACATTGTCGCGAAAAGCCTCAAAGACTTCGGGGTGCAAGTCGAGATGGCAAGCAGGTACGTAGCAAATGTAAGGTATCATCCCATCAACATTATTTTTACGTATCATATTTTTCTGTTCTGGATTGATAGTGATAGAAAAGTATAATGCGATTCAAATAAGAATAGGAAAGCTAATGACCTCTATCTGTCATATGTCGCTTGAAAAGTACGGTTTGCAAAAAAAAAATCTTGGAACCCTTTTTTAGCACTCCGCTAATTCTAGAATAAAAACCAAACGACCAGACGACCTCCGTGGCCGAGTGGTTTGTACGCCGGGTTTCGTGGTGTCGCCGACTCGAGAGGTCCCGGCTTCAAATCCCGGTGGGGGCAGATGTTTGTGTGATGAATACGAGCATTTGTACTCCAGTCATGGGATGTTTAATATGTATTTTCTATATAAATATACTTATATATGTACAGTATATGTATTCTATCCGTTACCCTAGTATCCCATAACACAAGCCTTATAGTGCTTACTTTGGGGCTAGGCTAATGGGTGTGTTGAAAAAAAAAATGTAAACAATAATAACAAATATTGATAATTAATATCGGTAGATATTTTTTTTTCACTTATTGAGCTTTGGCCATGAATGGTTGATAACCTAAATCGTCAACCAAATGTCACTTTAAGTTGCGTTCAGAAACTCGATTTCAAACTTTCGTTTACATAAAGGATGCATGATCGTATGGGACCTTGTAATAGTGCATGATTATTCATAACTACTCCGGCGGTAATGCAGAGATGAGCGGAATAGAAGAGCTATATTCTGATTAATCTTTTTTCTCACAGTCTTAATAAATAAATATTATTAAAAATCGGTGTTGTTTTTTTTTCTCATTTATAGTAAATAAATGTTATTAAAAAATCTGATGCTTTTTTCTCACTTAATGTAAGTAAATAAGTTTTATTAAATAAAACCTTTTTTTGCTCACTCTACCTATTTGGTTTGAATGGACAGTTATGACATCACAATATAGCGCCCAGTCGGTCCTATTCTTAGTTGAATCGCATTATAAAGAAACAAAACGGTAAAAGAGGTATGGCATAGCGAATTTTTTCGATCAAATCGGAGTGCTCCTCTGGGGAAGTAACCTCCACCTTACAGGAAATCACAGTAAAATAGCACTCTTGGCGGTTTTGTGGTTCGGTTGGTGAGTAAGTTTCCAATTCTCCACGGGGTAGAGGATTGGGCTGGTCATGCACGTCTGATATATCTGAGTTTCCATTTAATACTTGGATTGGCTTGACGCTGAAACGAAATATTAATTATTAAAATAATTGTTCTAGACTGAAATACAATGATGATCTGATAAATTGGTGCGACGTGGTGGTACCGTGTGGCGGTGATGGAACATTCCTTCTAGCAGCTTCTAGAGTGCGAGATGCCAAGTGAGTTTATGAGATTTTATTGAATGTGAATTGAAATTCGACTATATCACCTTTTGACAAGGAGCTATACTATAAATGTTTTTGATGATTCATTATCATCAGCCTTGCCTATAAATGCCCCCACTGCTGGGGCACAGGCCTTCCCTACGGATGGAATAGGGAGATTGGGCCATGACCCACCACGCGGGCCCAGTGCGGATTGGTGAGTGCTGACTGCAGATGCAGCCGGGACCAAAGGCTTAACTGGCCTTCCGAAGCACGGAGGAGCTCGAAATAGTAAATTTTTGGTCACCCATCCTAAGACCGACCACTGCGAAAGTTGCTTAACTTCAGCGATCGCAGCCGAACGCGCTAACCACCCACGCCATCGAGCTCCTCCTCCTCATGATTAATGATGTCATATAATCATCAAAAACACATAGTTGGGAGACTTCTATCATAAGTAACAATTATAATTTCGCTACGTTCATTTTGCTTTTCTGAGCTTAGCTCAGTGACTATCAGTAAATATAAAGGTGTAATTTAGCTTGGATATAATAATAATGATAACTATAGTGAACAAGGGAATTAGAGATTTAGCCATACTAATATTATGAATGCTAAAGTGTCGGTCTGTTATCTCGTGACGTTTAAACCGATGACTGAAGACCTAAGATGAAATTTGGTATTGCGATAGCTTGTCATAATATAGTTTTTATCCCAGAATGCATTTTTAAAGGGGAGAAAAAGGGGGATAAAAGTTAGTATGGAAAACCAATTTTTCCACGAAAACGAAATCTCGGGTACCCTCTACTTTAAATATGATATATAAGCAAGAAGGATGATTTAATAAATCAAAGTTGATAAGCCTAGGAATTTTGCGAAAACGCGGATAGTTAGACAATGGCGATGACATTGCTTAATCTTATGGCGCAATTACATTTGGTCGTTAGCCCCTATTCGCGTGCACGAAAGACATTAGTATATAATAAAATTGAATATAATATAACATGATATACTAAAGAATATGACATAGATAATAAATCAAATCATATAATATTAAGCTAAAATGAATAAATAATGTTGATATTAATATATTTTTATTTTTTGGGTAAAAAATTATCGTATTTGGCTGGTATATTGTATACGTACTAACTAAATTACAATAAGTGAATGCGTCCTCTTCTCTATTTGCTGTGCTAGTTCAGGGTCTACAATGATCAAAGCAATGTACCTACTAAGATCTAAGAAAACATTGTAGAACGCAATAAAGGATTGATTGCTTGATAATTGATTGATTGACATTACTCGAGTTCGGGCTCCCGAAGCAATATATACACTAGAATACGGGCTGGAAGATGGTGAAGGGGAAACAAAAGTCTACCCAAATACGGGCGTACTCGATTCCGTTCGTTTACACTAAAACGTTTAGCAGAATTCCATTGGCACTCGCGTTCGGCTATAGAAGAGGGATAGGAAATACGTTATGTGCGATGGAACGTAAAACTGCACTATTTAGCAACAGTGTCTTTGGTATGGCTACTGCAATCTTTAACAAAATACCTAATAATATAAAGACTTTGCCAATGACTATTAATTGACAAAGTATATTATACTACACAAGAGTTTCTTAGTGACACTTCCTTGAAAGAAATGGACATCATTACCTAATTAACTCATATTTTTAGCCTATTATAGCACAATTTATTATTATTATTATATATTTTTAGTTTGACATAAAATATTGCTTAGTAATTTTGTCATAAACATATTTTGACATTTATTTCTAACTATGACTTGTTTGATTGTAATTGTAATATAATAATTTTGATTTTTATGTAATTGTAAACCTGATTATTACTTAAAAAATATTGTATATCTTGTATTAAGGTCGAAATGTAGTGACACTAAACTTTTTACCTAACACCAAATTGCTGTAATAATCTACATTTCACAATAAATCATTTGAATTTAAATTTGAATTCGGCTTAAGGACTAAGTGGACTCGCGCCATTATTGTTAACGATTTTTTTTTCTGGCGCGTCTTGGTCTTAACATTAACGTAACCTAGTGTGAACCCAAGAATATTTATAATAAGCCAACGATTCTTTTCGCAATCTTACTGAGGCGACCCGCGTTTTCTCAAAAACCCTATTTTTTTCCAGTAAGATTGAGAAATGTCATCGCCGTTGTCTAATTATCCGCGTTGTCGCAAAATCCCTAGGATTTTCGCGAAAATTCGATTTATTAAATCATTTTTCAGTGCTTACTTTTAGGCTAGGCTAATTGGTGTGAGTGTTGGAAATGTTTATTTATTTTATTTATTTATTCTACGACATAAAAAAAGATAAGATGACGACATGACAACCACTTAATTTTTGACGTCTCTCGTGTGCAGCCAAAGTTTATGCTGATGTAGTTCGTAACTGATATATGTATTTTGTTTCAGTAAACCAGTAATAGGTTTTAACAGCGCCCCTCATAAGTCCGTTGGAAGACTCTGCTTACCCACATGGTGTTCTAATGACGTCAAAGGAGCTTTACAAGCACTAAAGGAGGTGAGTGTGTTTAGAATTTGTGGCATTTAAAACGTTTAAATTGCGGTGCAGAGGAGCTCGATGGCGCGGGTGGTTAGCGCATTCGGCTGCGATCGTTGAAGTTAAGCGACTTTCGCAGAGGTCGGTAATTGGATGGGTGACCAAAAATCTTCTATCTCGAGTTCCTCCATGCTTCGGAAGGCACGTTAAGCCGTTGGTTAGCACCCGCCAATCCGCACTGGGCCCGAGTGGTGGGTCATGGCCCAATCTCCCTATTCAATCCATAGGGAAGCCCTGTGCCCCAGCAGTGGGGATATTAATAGGCTGATGATGAAATTGCGGCACGGGCGATTAAGTTTCGTGTAATTTGTGTTGAGAAGCTTATTTGAATGTGTTTTTATGTCGCATGCCTATCGAAATTCAAGAATTTCATCAAATATGTTTTTCATATTTTTCTTCAAATATGTTTTACATCAATTTTGTCTATATGTATCTTGGGATAAACTCTAAAAGATTGATTTACTTCAAATTTGACACGAGTATTATTAAGAAGTCGGGTCAACATATATGCTACGTATTATCCCGCTATCACCTACCGGAAACCAGCAGTGACCCTTTACTCCTAACTAACTCCACGCGTACGTCGAAGTCGCGGGCGGCCGCTAGTGTTGTAATAACTTAACGATTTGACATATAAGTTAATTAGAAATTTATCAATATCATATTAATTGTGAGATCTACTTATAATGAAAATTTAGTTTTATTTTTATTTTTAAGCATTATGTGTAAATCTAAAGATAATTTAGGAGTTGTGGAGTATTTTCGAGTAAATTTCTTAAGTTTATCGTTTGTCCGAGTTTTATGCACCTGTATGTTTCCTTTTGATGTGAAACATCTTTTGGCGCACGTGAAACCGATTTTTGGCGTGGCGACGCTCGCCCGTAAAATGCAATATATACCAGTGCTCAACTACTCGCCGATAGCGGTGGGCATTTAAACGAAAAGCGCTTAAATAAGCGCGCTTAAAATATTAAGCTTGTAAGCACGCTTTTAAGTATAAGCTTTATAAGCTTATCACTTAAAAAGTGTGAGTAAGCTTTTCACTTAAAAAAGTGCAAGTATATTTTTTACTTAAAAAGTGCAAATCCCGCCATCTATGTCTTTGCCAGGAAACTACATACTTCGATCCTTCTAGTCCACTACAGTATCGTAAAATGGGTACGCGGAATTCCTTGGTACTAAATATTTCACAATATCACAGACATAGAACGCGCGACTACAGCGCCGCGTCGGCGTGCCATCTTTCGTGAGCCGGTTAATACAGAATGCGAATTATTATAATGCGACGTAAAAAAATGCACTTTTTTAAAATTTGGTCGGATAACCAACGCTTTTTTCGTTAAAAGCGTTTAATTAAACGAAGTCGAAAAGCAGTACGCTTGTCACTGTGACGGGGTAAGAGCGCGTGGGTGTTGTACGGTGTGTTTGCATGCTTGCTTGACGTGTTAATGCGTTTCGTGTATTGGTTTAATGTGCATATAAAATAGTTAAAAGTATGTATATAAAATCAATGAACTTTTAAGTACGCCTGGATCACGAGTATATTAACTCCAGACAGTCCTAAGCTTGTAAACTAAGAAGGAAAGTTCATTGACCATTATAAAAATGTTTATTATAAAATCTAAATTCAATTGAAAATCTTTCGTTTTTAATGCCAATCAATTCATTAGGTTTAAAAAATTTTTTAATAAAAATTTCATTAATATGAAGAAAAAACGCAATAAAACACTTAAACACATTAAAAACGACAATAAACTTTTCACGCTTTTTTAAACGATATACCTAAACGAAAAACGTCGCGCTTTTTACGCATGCTTTTAAACGTTTAAGCCAATAAGCGTTTAAACGAAACGACAATAAACTTTCACGCTTTTTTAAACGATATACCTAAACGAACACAACACAACGTCGCGCTTTTTACGCATGCTTTTAAACGTTTAAGCCAATAAGCGTTTAAACGAAAAAGCTTTTTTTCAAGCGCGCTTATTTTAAAAAAGTACAACGTTTAAACGCTTTTAAGAAATAAGCCGTTTTTTCCATCTCTACTCGCCGATCAGTACGGCGCCAGCGCCCTTCGAGGCAGAACCTATGTCATTTTTTACCGCACATATCCCGAGCAATTTTCCAAATGTATTTATCGTAAACCAGCTAGTGTTTCACATCTGCCAGGCCTCCCGTGACGGCTCACATTTTTTCTTATTTTATATCTGTCTAAGTGCATGGAATTAGAATTTAGAATGGTTTATAACTGTCTAAGTGTATGTAATGTTCTCTATTTCTCCCTAATTTTAGGGTAAATTCAGATGGATGCGTCGCACCAGGATAAGAACAACGATACGTTGTGAACAGAAGCTTCTAGATAAAATCACACCCATTGACCTTCACACTCTGCATTATAGCAGGTAATTTAACCCACATATGTATTAAGTTACAACGAAATGTAAAATTTAATCAATCGATTGAGAAAGCTCAAAATCAACTTCATAAGTTTAGCAGTTTTGGGTAACTTGTATGTTGGGTATTGTGTAATTTCTGAAAGAGTGTGCGAGAAGGACAGAATGTCTTGCGTCTCCATATTTTTAAGATTCCTTTACTGCCGTTTAAGGGGGGAGTCGGGCAATGTTTTTGCCATAAAAACTTTCTCGACTGATTGCTCCTTGATTTTTCTCACTAAAGAAATGGTTTTTCATACATAAAATATAATTTTACTCATTCTATGTCTTCCTTTTTTCGATAACTTGTTTTACAAAGCAACTAGAAGCACTTAAAGATGCCAAATATAAACAAATTTGTATCACCAATAAAGGCGTCTAGTGTGGAGATTCAATAAGCATTTTTAGAAAGAGCAAAACATACAGGCCTGGTATAACTACCTATCATTGTATACATGGGTAAAATTTCTTTTAAATATATCTTAATATCGAGGAGGAATTCAACGAGAGCCAAACTTCGAATGTTTTTTATTTTTTTTACAGTTTTAGCTACTGTTGTCCCTATCGCACGGAATTGGCCAATGCGCGACAGCATTAAATTTTTCAAATATGTACCTATTTCCCAAATGTCTCCCAGCTCGCGTCCGTTCTTAATCTCTAAGTTGATGATCTGATACTATTTGCTTTTGCTTTGCCTTCTGCTCTCAATATCCTAGGTTCGAATCCCGGTATTTGTTCCCGATTTTGATAGTTTAAATGCCTATGTTTATGTAATCTATATGTCACCGTAAAATTGTAAATACCGTTAGATTATTATCTATCTTGCAAGATTATAAACTGTCGAAATATTGTGAGCCGTAACATATTGCTTACCTACAGTTTAAACCCATTCTTTTTCGGTAGATTATAGTCTATCGAAATGAAACTGTTGAGTTATAAGCTGTTACGCGTTAAATCTTCAACTGTACGAAGGCTTTTGCTGATTGGCCGGTCTTACATTAGGCCGTTCTGTGTCCACAGAGTTAGGAATTCCTTTACACTTCTTGGTTTATCACAGATCAAGAACGCGCGAGGTGCGTTCCATCGCATGCCATTTCACAATTTTACGGTTTCACATCGATAGATTATAAACTATTTTAAAATAATGCGTTATATTGTAAGCAGTATATAACGGTTCACAATCTTTCGACAGTTTTCAATCTCGCGAGATAGATTATAATCTTACTTTATTTACAATTTCAAGGTGACATATAGACATAATATAGTTCCAAAGCACAACGGTTCACAATCTTACGACAGTTTTAAATCTCGCGAGATAGATTATAATCTAACGGTATTTACAATTTTAGGGTGACATATAGACATAATAAAGTTCCAAAATGCAAACCTGTTTAGTATTGGACTATGGTCGCGTTGTAAATATGACAGGCCTAAATATATGTAGTAAGTTATACAGAATCAAAAAATGGATTACTTAACGGCTATAACAGTGACATTAATATTAGTGATAAAATAAATAATAGTGTTATCAGTACCTGTGATAAATCACTACTCGTTACTCTACCAGGTACCCACCGGTATTGAACCACCACGACAGCGCAGAGACAAGAGAGGCGAGAACCAACTTTAACAACACTATGGAGCCCAGTACAACACTATCTTCTAAAGTTCTACCGTATTTAGCGCTCAATGAGGTGAGAGAAAAAGTTTAAATATGCCTCGTGGACAGGCCTTCAACCTTACTCACCGACAGAAACACAACACCAAAAGGTAGTGTTATTTTACTTTGGTCTCCTTTAAGCTGGAGGTTACTTCCCTATATGAGCGCTTCAATAGCGGTGATGACGGGTTACAGGAAACGAAAATCTATTTAGTCCGTCAGTTAGATGATCAAAAAATAATGGACACGTATTTTTTCTTTGGGCAATCAAACAAAAAATGACAAAGTTATAGCGCGTCAAAGTTTGGGAGTAGGGGCTCGTGACGTCACTTTGAAGTAAAAATTGTACCAAAACGTGACGTCATGTGACTTTTCAAATCAATATCTCTGCAATGTTTATATTATGTGAAAAAAGAAAAATACGTGTCCAATACTTTTTGATAATCTACCTGATAAACGAAGATAACAAAAATAGTCATCATCCCTATTCGAGCGGAAAACTACTCTTCGTAACGTTTATTTGTAAATCTAATTTCCTCTTTCACCAGTTAAAAAAAAAACAAATTTAATTTTAAGAGAATATGCTAAAATTCAACTTGCATACCTTCAATAATCCAGTCTTTAATATAGACGTCTCTTTCTTTACCTAACAGGTGTTCATAGGTGAGAGCGTGACGTCTAGAGTTTCGCTGCTCCGACTACAGATCGACAACGGCAAATGGACGCACACGAAGAGTTCCGGATTGTGCGTCACTACCGGAACAGGAAGCACTTCTTGGCATTTTAGGTAAGTTAAATAAATCCTACTTCGTACCAACTGTGATATGTGAAATTATAAATGTGAAAGTTTGTTTGTTTGTGTGTATTTATGTTTGTCTACTCAATCACGCAATAACTGCTGAAGGATGAAATTTGATACGCGTATAGTTTGTGACGTGATTGAGATTGAGAGAAGAATACTTTTCAACCCAGAAAATGCTAGGTTCCTGTGGTATTCTCTTAAATCTAAAGTTAACGCTGACGAAGTCGCGGGCTAATATTAAAAAATGAGAAAAATTGTATGTTTTTTACTCAATCACGCAAAAACTACTGAACGGGTTCGGATGAAATTTGACACGCATATAGTTTATGACTTGGACTGAGACATAAGATACTTTTTATCCCGGTAGACTGTTAGTTTCTGAGGGATTTTCAAAAAAGTAAAGTTGTTAAATGCGGACTAATTCGCGGGCGGCCACTAAATAAATAAATAAATATTTCTAACACACACCAATTGAGCCTAGCCACAAAGTAGTTTTTGCGTGATTGAGTAACAAACATACAAACGTTCACATTCATAATATTAGCAGTCAATTTGATGATTATACGACTTATTGCCTTATTGTTACAGTATAAATTGCCTCCGCACCCATTCAGTATTGGAGCTAATGAAGATTTTATCCGAAGAGTACGAAGTGAAGTTAGACACGAGTCTCGAGAAGGCGCGTGAAGTCGCAGAGAGATACAACCAGAAGCTCATGTTTGCACCAGGTAATATATATATACGTAATTATATTTTTAAGCGTTTAACTGCTAGGTTTATAACTCTAATAAAAAAAAGCTACATTTGGTGGAAAAAATATCAATTATAGTTATATTTTTATTTTTTAAGCATTATACTGCTAGATCTTTGAAAATTCGACACGAAAAATTAGGGCCGCGGTAGCATAATGGTCAATGCAACCGCCCGGATAGAGGAGGGTGAGGATTCGAATCCCGTCTGCTGCCTGGTCCGCGTGGATTTTTTTCTAGTAAAATTTTCTTCACATTATTATTTATATTAGACATTCAAATAAACGTTTCTCTGTCAACAGAATTATATTGAGTTACTACGGAATTGTCTATCTACTTACTTGCTGACAATGTCGCTGAATAACGAAAAATGGCCAATCAAATTAATAAATCATTTAATTATCCCCTGACATAAAAAAAAGTTATCAAATGAATCCTTGAGTTTTCCCGATACATATTTAAGAAGGTACCTAGTAAATTAAAAAAAATACAGTCTTTACGACCACGGAGCCGGTAAAGGATTTGAAACAGCAATTGATTTATTTATTTGCATTTGGGAAACATACAGTTCTAGACAAATCAATCAAATGACACTTCTTATTTTACAATAAACCAGTTAAGTTTCCGCATGCTTAAATATCTAAACGCTTACATAATTTAGCAATATTGAAAAAGGTTAATATATAAATCGCGTTTTGTACCTGTTCAAAAAGTGTTTTTTTTTACTAGCGACTTCGTCTGCGTCTGAAAATTGGTTTCCCATACGAACTTCCACTCCCCTGATCACCAGTTCAAAGGATATTTTGACGTGATGAAGTCTAAAGGGGGGATTTTCTATATAAAAATACATACTTATATATGTATTCTATCCGTTACCCCTAGCATTCCATAACACAAGCCTACAGTGCTTTCTTTGGGGCTAGGCTAATTGCTGTGAGTTTTGGAAATATTTATTAATTATTATTATATATTAGTATTATAAATGCGAAAGTTTGTTTGTCTGTCTGTCTATTACCTCATCGCATTTTAACCGCTGAACCGATTTAGATGGAATTTGGTATAGAGATAGTTTGAGTACCAAGCAAAGGTTTTATCCTAGATATTCCCCTTTTAGGGGGGGGGGGGGGGTGAAAAAGTTTGTATATGATCTTTACATGAAGATTTAAATGTTTAAATATTATTTCTTCTCCTACAGATTCTGAGCAAATAGCCTACAGTGTTCGGGAATACATAACGTTTGAGGAATGGCCCGCCCCCAGAGGACTACGGGTTAGAGACAGAGTTTCATCGGTGAAAGTCAAGTCGCATTGCACTGATGCTGGTAAGTTATAAATGAATAAATGTTTCTAACACCAAAAGGGTATTTGACAAAGTTTTAGGAAACGATTCATCATCATCATCAGCCTATTAATGTCCCCACTGCTGGGGTACAGGCCTTCCCTATGGATGGAATAGGGAGATTGGGCCATGACCCACCACGCGGGCCCAGTGCGGATTGGTGGAACTCGAGATAGAAGATTTTTGGTCACCCATCCAATGACCGACCACTGTGAAAGTTGCTTGAATTCAACGATCGCAGCCGAACGCGCTAACTACCTGCGCCATCGAGCTCCTCCAGAAAACGATTACACGTTAGTTACTGATGTTAATGTAGTCTTTAAAAAATATCAATGTACTTAATGTCAAATTACCATAAAAAAATAAAAAATGGGTGCGTGTACTTATGTAGGCGCTTGAGAAGTTATCCTTCTTTGGCATCGTTTAAAATAAGTTTTTAATTGCATGCAAATAATTAATGAGGAGCTCGATGGCGCAGGTGGCTAGCGCGTTCGGCTGCGATCGTTGAAGTTAAGCAACTTTCGCAGTGGTCGGTCATTGGATGGGTGACCAAAAATTTACTATCTCGAGCTCCTCCGTGCTTCGGAAGGCACGTTAAGCCGTTGGTCCCGGCTGCATTTGCAGTCGTTAGCACCCACCAATCCGCACTGGGCCCGCGTGGTGGGTCATGGCCCAATATCCCTATTCCATCCATAGGGAAGGCCTGTGCCCCAGCAGTGGGGACATTGATGGGCTGATGGTGGTGATGGTGAAATAATTAATTACAATAAATTAATAATAAATGACATTTCATTTCATTTCATTTCATTTCAATGTCCCGTTCAAATCTGCCCTGTTTGCTTTGTTCAAATGTGCCCCACGGTCACTTGAAAAATAAAATATTGCAAATAACGCGCCCGCGGCTAACTTCATTATGTTAAAATTTTGTGTTACAGGGATGAAAATTTCACTCTCATAATTTTTTCATAACGCGGCTAAAGAAGTATAACTTCAATAAATTATCATCTAAAAATACAATTGGCAACCTAAAGGTTAGGTCGGGTTACCAATTCTATTTTTTGAGGATTTATTTCTTATATTTATAATTATATTATATTATATTAGTTTCTTGCTTTTTTCTAAAGCATTTTTAAGGCTGCAAGGCATTGCCATCTCTTTGCATTAAATCTAATTAATTTTGATAACCTCCGTGGCTGAGTGGTTTTTACGCTAGGTTTCATAGTGTCGCCGACTTGAGAGGTCCCGGGTTCGAATCCCGGTGGGGGCAGATGTTTGTGTGATGAATACTAGCATATGTACTCCAGTAATGAATGTTTAATATGTAGTTCTATATAAATATGCTTATATATGTACCTAGTGTATATGTATTCAATCCGTTACCCTAGTATCCCATAACACAAGCCTTACAGTGCTTACTTTGGGGCTAGGCTAATTGGTGTGAGTATTGGCAATATTTTTATTATTATTATAAATTCACAGGTTTAGTCGTAGACGGGAGCGTATCGTTTCCCTTCAACGATGGATGTGAAGCAACGCTGGAAGTGCACCCGGAAGACGCGCTCATGACTGTACATATGGACGACGAGTTGCCACACTGAAGCTTAAGTTACCCCGAAAGAAGGGAGATTATCGATACCTTAAGAGCTCGGATTCTGTATAGATAAGTTAGGTGGTTTTCGCAAAAATATGTGTCTTTTCTACTGCCTCACTGAAACTTACGATAGCCCGAAATCGGGGAGATTATCGATACCTTAAGAGCTCGGATTCCGTTTAGATAAATAAGATGGGATTTGCAAAAAATATGTTTTTTTCTACTGCCACACTGAAGCTTACGTTACCCTGAAATCGGGGAGATTATCGATAGATACATGAAGAGCTCGGATTTTGTATGGGTAAAGTAGTAGTTTTTGTGTTTTTTCTATTGCCACACACACTGAATAAAGCTTACTTTACCCTGACATAAGGGAGATTATCAACACTTTCAGAGCTGGGATTCTGTATGGACAAAGCCTTTATTCCACCACCATTTTCCATTTTTTGCTACTGGAAGCAAATGGGAATGAAATCATTGCCCCAGCTTCAGTTTTTTTTATTCCCATTTGCATACAGCATGGCAGATGTTTTTTAAGGCTAGGGTTCTGAAATATAAAAATAATGTCTCGCTTTCCATATTTCCATATTGGAATCTGACCTTTTAGTACTCAAGTCACACAGACAAAAGCTTATGCTGGTGCCTTTAAAAGAATTCTTTTGTCATGGATATATTGCTAGAGCGTCAACGATACCTCAAAATGAAGTAAATAAAGTACCAATAGGACAGTTCCATGAAGATTGCGATATGTTTGTCAATTTTATCTCCAGTGGCCATAAAATATGTAAATAACTCATGAACGTCATAGTTTACCATCACTACCAAAACTTGTCTCTACTCAAATTAAAGACACTAGTCCTTAGAGGTGATAATCGCTTGAAATCGTTAATTCCAAAAGGTAGAAACTGCTTCAACTATCAAAACCGAATGTAAGCTAATTTCGACTCAAATTGAAGTTCTTAAGTGTACTCAGTTAAGGGACAGCATTTAAGGCGAAAATTGACTGTACTCGATCTCCATAAAATAAAAATAAACTAATAATTGTTATGATGGAGTGCATGCCATTTTAGCCTTAAACCGTACTTCTGCAAGGATACCAAGGATATGCATTAATCTTCAAATGTGTATTCAGTTGACGTATTTATTTAACGACCTCCGTGGCCGAGTGGTTTGTACGCCGGGTTTCATGGTGTCGCCGACTTGAGAGGTTCCCGGGTTCGAATCTCGGTGGGGTCGCAGATGTTTGTGTGATGAATAAGAGCATTTGTACTCCAGTCATGATGCTTAATATGTATTTCTATATAAATATATGTACTGTATATGTATTCTATCCATTACCCTAGTATCCCATAACACAAGCCTACAGTGCTTACTTTGGGGCTAGGCTAATTGGTGCGAGTGTTGGAAATATTTATTTAATATTTATTTATTTAATTAAAATGAGAATGTCTATACAGCGCAAATTGTATATTCACTCTCTCTTTGAGGGACCACGATTGAATCACCGCAGAATACAAAAATATCCATACAAAAAATTATATTCTTTTTCAACCAATGAAGTTTCATTTTCGCGCCAAAAACAAACTATATCCTAAGCTAAGCCGTTGTTCCCGGCTGCATATCCACCCATCATTCCGCACTAGGCCCGCGTGATTACTTTGGCCCAATATCCTGTTTATATTTTTATATAGGGCCTGCGTCCCACCAGTGGGTACGTTAATAGGTTTATAGTTATTGTATACAGCATTGATAAGAAATAATTATTATGTACATAACTAGTAATAATAATAATATTATTTGTAAATATTAAATTGCATTGTTAGAGTAAGACTGAAAACTGTTTTAAGTGAAATAATTTAAATATTGATGATTAAATCTGTTAATGGAATTATTACGAGTAGTTTCAATTTTCTACCAACTTCAGAGGAGGGATATAATATTTGAAAAATATTGGGAGGATTTCGCCAAATACTAATTTATTTTGATGATTCTTTTGTTGAAAACATTTGGAACATTAGGTAAGGTAGCGGCACCAATGACCGGCAAGAAACAATGATCGTCAGTTTTCTCTCTGATCAATGAAAATAATATCAACCGAGCGTCTTTTTTTTTTGTTGAAGTTCTCCCGTTTTAGGGAAGGCAAAGGGAACAATGCCCATACAGCCTAGTCTTTAATTAAATTTATCTTCTTTTTATTTTTACATTAGAATGTCGGTGTGACGCATTCTAATGTTTCTTGGAGTGTTTGGCACGAAATGTATCGAGTTGGCTTTTTCGATAAGCTTCTGTGAGGTAGTCAACACTACAATAAAATTCTCACGTCCACTTGACCGGAATAGCGTATATTTTAATGATCCCGCTAATTCTTCAGTTACGCAGACAGTTGTTACACAAAACCACACCAATTTTATTTCACAATATCCACTATGAACGAATTTAAGAATAATTAAAATAAGACGCCAACCGCACTCGATGAAATCCCGCCAAAAAAGCCCCAACCGAGCGTCTGGAGCTCAGTGTTGCCATATTAAGTGATCAGTTACCTACTCGTATTTTCTTTGATCACAGAAAAAACACCGATAATTGGATTTTGTCGGTCATTGATGCCGCTGCCTTAAGTAGGAGTAATTTACACAGAAAGGAGGCATAAATAAATAAAATAAAAGTCACATTTAATTCAGTATATTTGTTAAAAAATATATATATTCGTACACTGTCACACCGCCTCCGATACAGTTCCAGAATCCCATTGTAATTAAAAAGTATACATAATTATAATTAAACGTTACACAATATTATTACAATGACCAATGGGATAGTATGAAACGTGTACCGGAAAAATTCGTTGTTAAGCTTAAAAGTACGTATATAATACTTACATAGGAATATTTGAAATAACAGGTTTTTGTGTACTAGGTAAGCCACAGAGATGCGTCTTCTCTATAAGGTATTTTTGATGTGTAACATCTTTTCTATCGCTTTCCCGCAATTTGTGCGAGTGATTTCGTGAACTGGGACGGAAGTGTGTAACAGGCTTATTCCTTTTGTAGTAGGTTTTATTTCCTTTTTACTAATATAAGTTACACATCATACGCGACTACTGTAAGGCACGCTCGTTTTTTTATTTATACGTAGATAGGTACTTTTATAATTTTTAGTACGGGGTACTGTACATAGGCTGATAAAATAGCAATGGAAGGAAAAATAATAAATCATTCATAAACAGTTACAATTTACTCTGTAATCTGTCTGTTATTGTTGTTATTATTAATAAAATAATAAGCTATTGTAAAAGAAAACAGCACCGATACGAAAGAGACTAAAAAGAAACTTATGAAAAAAACTAAACTTAAAAAATATGGCATTCATTATTGTTTGTCAAGAGGAGTTCTTATTCAGGGGTTTTTTTTTTACTTGACCCATAGACAAAAAACAGAAAAGAGTTCCCGACACCTAAAACAAAAAAAGACCTGTTAAAACGATATGGTACATATTCTTTTTCCACTAAATCACAGATAAAGACTTAATTCAATACTTTTCTTTTTCCCCTGAAACAGCTTAGTATAATGTGGTCCAACTTTACAAAGTCATCACGCATTTTTGATTTATGGTAATTTTCATGACTCATCTAAGTTTTCACAGGTCTTTAATATTGTTCCCTAAATATTTATCGCCTATCAACGTAATATTTGCTTATATTTTATGTTTATTTACGTAGTGCAAGGCAACCTTAATATTGTTTGTTTTATTTTCAGAAATTGGTACCATGCCGTATTTTATCAAAAATAACTTCCAAATGTAGAACGCTATAAATATTGTGATTATCACTTGCAAATTGCAACGCTGTGGCTATTAAAAAAACACGTAGTGGTACCAATCTCGGAAAACAAAATACATAAAAAACTAATTTATAAAATTAAAAGGACGGATACATTACGCACAATTATCACAATATAAATATTACACATTTTCCATATATGGTATTGAGCCTTAGAATTTAATAAAATGGTAAATCACTAAAAGTATAATACTTACTAAAAATTGACTTCGTTGTGATTTTTTATTCACAACTAATAACCGTAACATCTAGTTGTATTAATATGCCAATATAGGTGTTTTCAGTTTGGCAGTACAATAACACCATAATTTAAAAATTAAAATACATAACTTATTTGTTATTCATAAAATGTGGTGCAACAGGAACGTACTCCTCTTGGGTACAACCGACTTTTATAGGCAGTAATTTATTTGTTAGAAAATTTTAGGACTCTATTATTTAAAACCACGCGCTGTCGATTTTACAATAAAAATACTTACAATCACACACCTAGTGGAATGTAAATTATTCCCACAAAATAATTAAAACATATTCAAGTTAAAATTGCTAATTCGATGTACTTGTATCATTGTACTTTATTTTTTCTTATGTTGGTATTACTTGATTTTGATTTCCGTATAACAACAAAAAACAAAAATTTCAAATTACGAAATGAGTTCCATTTACAAGTTTAATGATGTTGAACCAAAAAAAGAAACAAATAGTGAATTGCGATTGAATAAAAAAAAACTTTTTCGAAAATGGAACGCTTAGCTCGTGTGCGAGTAGCCAGTGTTGGTATATGGCCCGCTGTATAGTGAACTTCCGGTCCGCGAATAAGTCTTCGGATTGCGTCTTCGCGCCAAAATGAATGCAATGGCCGCTATCACGCAGATCATCAGAATTACACCAGCGATGCAAATGCCGATTGCGAAGTTCCTCTGTGTGATGCAGATCTCGTCCTCTTTCTGGTAAAATGTAATAAGTTTATTATTATTTTATGCAGAAATGACAACGTAGAATGTGCCAGAAAACAAAGAACATGCCACATAGTTACCTTCTCGCTGACAACCTCGTCGCTCTCCAAGGAGTCAGCCTCGTTGACATATAACCCTGTGAACACCTCCACGGTGGCGGGCGAGCCTTCGTCCAGGTCTCTGCGTAAACGCTTCCCGCCGTCCGTGCAGGAACGACGGAACTGTCCATATAACAGAAAACGGAAACTTTATTAATGACAACGGAGAAGTCAATAACGAACCCTCTTATTACACTAGGCGCATATATACGGTTTCCTGATCAGGAATTCCGATTCGGAAATCTGAATGTACGTGCTTGCATACCACAGAACACAGAAAGAGGTTATAATGGCCTTGTGGCCGGGGCAGGCGCGCCACAGTTATGTGTGAGCAAATGCTCAGAACTTAACCAAAAATTGGTTATGATTGCGTCGTTACTCACGGGTGTGAGCGCCGATTGGTTTGATTGATTGATGTCGCGTCGTTTGATTGGCTATTATCTATTAATAGGAAGAGTAGTGGGGGCGAGACGGCGACATACGTTCCTGTACAAACAGTCTAAAATCACCCTTCTAACCTCTTTATGTGTTCTGTGGTACATATAAAATGTTCAACGAGGCGCACACTGTTCTTATTTATACAGAATGGAAAAAATCTGAGGTCCGGTACGTACACTTACTAATTAAAAAAAACGTACGTGTGCGCCCGTCTTAAACAAAGACTGCCTATCATATAGCATCGACCTCATTACTACACTTCCGGTGACATCTATCGGTCCACCTAAATAAAAATATTAAAATTTATCGGTTCCTAGTTAAAAATAAATTTTGCATTTAGCAAAAAGTTTTTACCTACGCAGTTTTGAAGCTGATGTATGTAACATGTTTTCGTGTTTTTTTTAATATTTTTGCTTAACCGTAAACAAAGTATTTTAGAAAGTATTTATTATAAATTGTATTTAATTTTAGTAGCAAAACAACTGTGTTACCGTAACCATCTAACTAAGCAATAAAGAAGTGATAATAGGGATGATGACTAATTTTTTTTGTTCGTTTATCAGGTAGATTATCAAAAAGTATAGGACACGTATTTTTTCTTTTTTCACATAATATAAACATAATCAGTTACTCCGTGATCATGGCGCTTGCAACAGTGCCGAAATATCGGAGACTCATAAAAAACAAGGTACATGGTAACAATCCCGTTAATATCTATAATAATATAAACATTGCAGAGATATATTGATTTCAAAAGTCGCATGACGTCACGTTTGAGTACACTTATAAGTGAAAATTCACTCAAAAGTGAAAATTCACGTCACGAGCCCCTACTCCCAAACTTTGACGCGCTATAACTTTGTCATTTTTTAGTTGATTGCACAAAGAAAAAATACGTGTCCATTATTTTTTGATCATCTAACTGACGGACTAAATAGAATTTCATTTACTGTACCCCGTCATCACCCCTATTCCTCGTTGGATTTCCTTCTAATACTATACAACTTAGAACTTAATTTTAACTTCATCTTATAATTTAATGGTTACTAATATATAATTTACTCTGTTAGCGTGGTCAACTCAGCGCTGAATCATTCTACCATTGAACCTTATAACATAAAGTCCGGAAATATATTAAAATCAAAGAATACCTAAGCCCCTGTTGTACTGACTGCACCATTGCTTGCACCATTAATGGTGTAGGTGGATAAACTTATTAGTTTCGTTTATAACATTAATGGGGCATACGAACCACACGAATCACTTTAAGTTAAGGAATCGTACCTTTTCCTCCCCGTAAGCATATGCAACGCGATGCAGGGCTGGATCTAGAGATGTGGGGGTCCTGGGGTTACGAATTGTACAGCACTTTGGTTTGGTGACCCATCGAAATTTGTTTTCTATCTCCTTTGTTGTGGGGGTCCCTAGGCCATACATTAAGGACTGGCCTGCTTTAAATCCGCTTCTGCCGCGATGTGATGTGTACTCTGATCTTCAAATGGAGAAATACCAGACTACCTCTACTAAAATAAATTCTCGAGTAACTTATCCCCTGGTCTGTGTAAACGGCGGATTTCTTCTAACGTCAAGAACCCCTGTCTGTGGAAGTATCTGATTTCTTCCACGCATACACGGTACAATATTTAGATATATAAAAGATAAATAGAAAAAGATGCAGAAACTATTTAAGATTGATTTAGGACATAAATAAAGACAACAGGTTTGAGTAGAACTCGAAATATAACAGTTTTTGTGAAGTGCGGGAACCAAAAGTGTTTGACAGCCATTTTTTTATACAAATGAGGGAAAGAACATTTCCGCCCCACGCTTTTTCAGTTATTTAAGTATGTATGTTAAAATAAAATATAAAAATGGCTAACTCTAAGGCCCTAATGAAGTAAACAGAGAGTATATTTTCTTTAATTTTGCCTTTTTAGTGCAGTTAATAAAAAGCGTGTTTTTTTTTTTTAAGATTTATCCTCGGATTCTGTCTGTGACGAGATGAATCGATCTTTTTTTTGTGTTCCCCTAATCGTGCCGCGGCGTGTGTATATTTCGTGATAACTCACGCATTCATTTTTGCACAGCTTCACGCCACAAGTGTAGTAAACGCTGGGGCTCCAAGCAAACTTGTGGGCGGAAAAGGAGACTTGAGCCCGCAAACCGTCAGATGAGTACTGGAACATGCCCATCACGGCACTGTCTAACGGACATCTGTGGAAGAAAAACAAAAATAACGCTACTAATATTATAAAATAGCTGTGCCCCGCGGTGTCACCCGCTGTTTATTAGGGATATTTTCCCGCAGTAAAACGTAGCAGAGAACCAGAGTTATCGACATAGCCCATCGAATTAGCAAGTTGAAGTGGCAGTGGGCTGGCCATATTTGCCGCAGAACCAATAACCGTTTGGGTAGACGAGTTCTGGAGTTGAGACCGCGTCTAGGCAAACGTAGTGTAGGACGTCCTCAGGCACGATGGAGTGACGATTTGCGCAAGGTGGCTGGCATGAGCTGGATGCGAGTAGCCCAAGATCGACCTCAGTGGCGTGCAATTGGAGAGGCCTATGTCCAGCAGTGGACTAATGTCGGCTGTTGATGATGATGATGATGAAAACGTAGCCTACATAGGCTTAACTCATGTTAATCCAGGGTGTCAGCTAACTCCATACCAAATTTTATTTAAATCGCTCCAGTCGTTTAGACGTTGACAAGTAACAAACATACACACTCACAAACTTTCGCCTTTATAATAGTAGTGTGATGTGAATGTTTCTATGTTTGTTACTTAAACACGCAAAAACTACAAAACCGATTCGGATAAAATTTAGTGCACATATAGTGTATGACCCGGATTGAGACATAGGATACTTCTTTTCCCGGAAAAGTGTCAGGTTCCTGAGGGATTTTCAAAAACATAAAGTTACCGCGGACGAAGTCGCGGCCGGCTGCCAGTAAATAATAAAGTTACTACGAAAATTTTCAAGCAGTCAGGATTCGAATCTGCATCTTCCGCAATCCGTACGAACTAAAGATTTATAAGTTCAGCAGTTTATTGCTTAAAATAAAAAAAAATATGAAAAAACAATGTTATTGCCAGAAATCTCTTCGGGCAGGATTTTACTTAAAAAAACCATCACTGCACTGTTTAAAGAACACTGCGAAGAAAAACAAAAATTGTATGTTACTTCCAAGAAAACTTTGGGGAAAGTAGTTTAATTTGATAATTTTAGAAAAAAAGTCATTTTTGAAAATAGCTCTCTTAAAAGGACGTCTGCGTACGGGAAGAAAGCATTTTGCCCCATAATGACGTAAACGTGAAGTAAATAAATGTCATGTCTGAAATTGGAGTTATCGAACACAAAAGCACCTTTGCGGCGATTTTGGAAAATAAAATCCCTTGTTACAAATGTGGAAGTTAGTATGTTTGTGTGTTTGCATGTTTGTTACTCAATTACCCAAAAACGGCCGAACTGATTTGGAGGAAATGCGGCACACACTTAGTTTATTACCCGGATTGAGACTTCGGGTACTTTTATCCCGGAAAAGTTTTAAGTTCCTAAAGGAAAGTTAAAAAAAAAAACAAAGTTAACTCGGGCGAAGTCGCTGGCGGCCGCTAGTAATATTAAAAATGTTATACTTAGATAGCTTGGATTAATTTATTCCATATTTTGCCACTGTCCATTCAATGATAAATGACATTTGAGTGACATAAACAAAACACGGTGTAACCTGTCTAAACTTATTACTTTAATTAATAAGGAGGTGTAGCTATGTTTGTTTGCTTATTACTCAATTACGCAAAAACTACTGAACAGATTTGGATGAAATTTGGTACGCATAAAGGTTATGACCTTTTTTGTGACGCAGACAAAACCTCTATTTACAGACGACGGCGCCTTTAAGAGGCATACCGCCGAACGGACCTCACACCTGGCTCCCGCAAGCCTTACGAGCCCCCACAGTAGCTGCTCACCGAGGACCTCACCTCCCTCAAAACCCTGGGAATACCCTCTAAGCTGCTTAGTGTGAAGCCGCGGGATCCCCGTTTAGGGATTCTTCCACGTCTCCGAACCCATAAAGGTTATGACCTGGATGAGACCTACATAGGATATTTTTTAACCCGCAAATATGTTCAATTCCTGAGGGATTCTCAAGTTGTCGCGGACAAAGTTGCGGGTAAGAAATAAATGAGCGGTTTTTACCCATCTTCATCGATAAGTTTGTGCTCCGCCCACCCTAAGGCGTCATGCACGAAGCAGTCTCGCACCAGCATGCCCACGTTGTTCTGCTTCTCGAGTGACACCACCAGTGTCACTGTGTCACCTACTTTGGCTTCGGACACCTCCTTTTAAGAAAAAAAAATCTAATTAATAAATTAAATAGCGTGCGTGGACCACACATCTGAAGTGAAAGCGTGTGACGCTCGTAACGCATTTCCGTTGTATCATTGCCATAGGATTTTTCCAAAAAGAAAAGAAGTTTCAATTTTAAAACCGGCTAAGTGCAAGCCAGACTCGCGCACGAAGGTTATAAGTTATAACAAACCGCAAAAAGAAAAATATTTTCTTTATTTATTTGAATCAGCTTAAATACAGCATATGGAGCTTCATAAATTAAAATTTTACATTCGTAACTAGTTTAGATTTTGAGATAGATCCCGTAACAATAATGGTCTGAACATTACAACTTTGACGGCCTCGCCTCCCATTTCTTTGTCATTGAAAATAATAATAAAAAAAAACTCAACTTCCCCTGTCTTTCCCAACGAGCTCTAGACAACGATGTGTCACATGTTGGGGGTAAAGAAGAAAAAAGTTTTTTTCATCCCCCTTTTCATTTTTCATCCCATGAAAAATAATATTTTCATTAATCACAAAAAATCAGTTTTATAACTTATTCCATTTACGATCTAGAGACCCGTGGCATACGAATAGACAGACGTCATTTTGACAGCAATAGTGTTCTATTTTTACCCTTTGGGTACCGAACCCTCAAAATATTAATTGTATGGTCAAGTTCATACACAAGGCAAATTTTGCGGTGGGCGTCTCAATTTTCTTTAGATTAAAACGTCTAGCCGTTAAATGCTTACAATATAATTATATGTGTATGTATCTTACGTACATGTTTTTCTTCAGGGTCCCCCTTGAATAGTTGCATGGTGACTGATGGCAACATGACGAATTCTTTCTCCAAGTCTTGGAGATCGCTGAAAATGAAAAATAAAACTCTTAAATTTAGTCAAGTTATGTTTAAAGCAAAATTTCAGAACAACCATTTAGTTGTACTTAATTAGTTAACTAATTTTCTAACGTCTACAAAATTATACGCGGAATTTTATACTAGTACCCTTAGCACGAACCAATATCGAATTCGTAACGTTTGCTAGTCCGAAATGTCATTGTCAAATGTGTACCTGATTTTTAGTTCTCGTTACGTACTTTGTGGCGCTGCTGTTCAAGTTTCCATACAAAATTTGACATTGACATTTCGCATTCGCAAATTATTCGAATTCAATAATAGTACATATTATGCAGTCGATGACACAAATAATTGTTTCACAGGGAAAGCCTGTGCCCAGAAGTAGGGACATTAAGAGGGGAGTCGAGCAATGTTTTTTCCATACAAACGTTGTCGACGGAATTCCTCCGTGATTTTTAAATATTTTTTTATACATGGCATCACATTCAAATAGTAAGATGCTTACGGATGCCAATGCGCATGCGCGATTAGAGAGAGAAAGCAAGCGGTCTCTCATCTTCTTTCTCTTTCTACTAGACGGACACTTTTAGAACCGCCTTCCCCACTCTATTCTTATACCTCTATGACAATAACTCACTTTTCATCTGCGAGTGACCTGCCACCCCTGTCGTTCTTACGGCGGTGCAATATCTATAGTTTTAATTAAAGTTTAGGTAACTTACTTATCGTCAGCCAGTGACTTGCCGCTTCTGTCGTTCTTCTGGCGGTGCAGTATGTGGAACTGCATGAGGTCGCGGCGCCGGTACCGGCAGCGCACGTGGTAGCCGCGCCCCTGGCCCGTTACGATCTTCGGATGGGGTTGCACGATAATGTTGTTGTAGTATTCCACTGTGCCATCCTCCTGGGGGTAAGAGATACTTCTTAAGTTACTAACTCAGTAAGTCTGCCAACAGAATAGCCCGTCACAATAGGGGTGATGACGGGGTACAGTAAACGAAATTCTATTTAATCCGTCAGTTAGATGATCAAAAAATAATGGACACGTATTTTTTCTTTGGGCAATCAACCAAAAAATGACAAAGTTATAGCGCGTCAAAGTTTGGGAGTAGGGGCTCGTGACGTCACTTTTGAGTGAATTTTCACTTATATGTGTACTCAAACGTGACGTCATGTGACTTTTCAAACCAATATATCTCTGCAATGTTTATATTATGTGAAAAAAGAAAAAATACGTGTCCAATATCTACCTGATAAACGAAGAAAAAAAATTAGTCATCATCCCTATTAGAGTTGGATTTAGAGCTGAGGAAACCCTGGTGAAGGAGTGGAGACACATAGTTTAAAATCTAGCGCCCGGTGCTTCTTACCATTTGCACCAACCAGCGTTGGTGAACAGAAAAAATGTTTTGTCTGTTCACCAAAATTCCATTGAATTAATCTAAAGAAAATGTTTTTGAAAAAAAAAAACACGCAGACAAGACTTGAACCCGCATCCTCCGCTATCCCCGGTATCGGGTTCAAGTCGCGTCTCGTCTCGTAGCGTCTAGTCTATCTATATAAATAATAATTAAAATTAACCACCGAAATGTATAAAGTTAGCACGTACATCATTTCCGATCCTACCGAGGCAACTGAACTAAATAGGACACCTCTGTTTATTGTCATTGTGTTAGTCAGGACAAGGTTTGCACAAAAGAAGTTTCGGAAATCGGGATGATGTATTGGTGTTGTGACTTGGTAAAGAATTAAATAAAACTAGTTTTAACGGATTAATGCACGAACTTTATTTATTTAGTGACGTTTCGCAGCCTTTAAATAAACTCAAAATTACAAAAAACAATTTTAAATAAAGTACTTTATTAACTTAATCAACTAATAAATTCATACATAGACAATAAGTTTTAAAAATCTTCCAATGAAATATCCGAACGCTCAATAAAAGTCTTTCGAAGGTAGCTCGACAAAGAAAATAAAAAATGATTATTCTGACGATGCAGACCTGGAAAGGCTGCGAAACGTCAATAAATAAATAAAGTTCGTGCATTAACCCGTTAAAACTAGTTTTATTTAATGAGTGATGTGCGTGAAAACCTAAGAAACAAATATTGGTAAAGGATTGTTTCACTCATTTGTCGCATTCAAAAAGCTCATAAAACAAGGGGCGGCGTCCCTTGAAACAATGAGGGGATGTGACGTCATTATATCCGGTGCGTTTGCGCACAAAATTTGGCAGGAAGTCGACTGGAACTGCCCGAATTTTGTACCAACAATTATTATTCCAACGGTGCCGACTTTCGTGTGGGTACCGTAAAATGAAAGGTGTACTTTTAAATTCTGGTTGGAAATGGAAATGTTCTTCAAATAATTGTTAAGTCATTTATGAATAATCATGAAGACGAGTGTCAGATTAAATTAACTGTAATTTAAAAAATGAAATCATTTGGCTCACCCAAAAATGGCTTTCTTTGTTACAAATAAAAAAAGCGGCCAAATGCGAGTCGGACTCGCCCATAAAGGGTCCCGTAGCAGCATGTAACATAATATAAAAGTTCTTGTAGTTCGTTGTAACTTTGATCGATGCTTTATGCTATTTACGATTTATGACGTATTAAAAAAAGTAATTATTGGATTGCATAGAAATGTTCATCATATTTTTTTTTAAGTTTTAACTTTCTCTTATTTTATCTATCGAATCCATAAGGGTTCCGTTTTTTGCCATTTGGCTACGGAACCCTAAAAAGGCGCTTAGATTTCAATCATCGTCGTTGTCAAACCAATAAGAAACTTTGATATGTGACAATATTCTTTGTATTCGAAATACTACATCGGATAGCATACTACTTACAATCACTATTTAGAGCAAAAAATATTTCATATCATCAGGAGCCTGAAACACCAATACACCTTCTATGTGAATGTGGGCCTCTTATCCACAACGTAGGTAGTATTCATCCAGCACAAAACCAGGATTTTTCCAGTTGCGCCCCGTCCAAAAAGAAGTTTCGCTTCAATTAATTGACGACCTCCATTGTCCATTGGTTTGTACGCCGGGTTTCATGGTGTCACCGACTCGAGAGGTCCCGGGTTTGAATCCCGGTGGGGGCAGATGTTTGTGTTATGAATACGAGCATTAGTACTCCAGTCATGAATGTTTAATAAGTATTTCTATATAAATATAACTTATATATGTACTGTATATGTATTCTATCCGTTACCCTAGTATCCCATAACACAAGCCTCACAGTGCTTTCTTTGGGGCTAGGCTAATTGGGGTGTGTTGTAAAAAAAAAATAATTATTGCATACTACAGTATTCTAGACAATAAATGTCGAAATCTCCAAAAAGTGCACATATCAGATATTGATTAGGTTTGATAACAAGGAACAATTACATATCTTCCACGAAGGCTATTTGACAGTATGAAAAATAAAGTACCAATTGTTGGCATATGTATTTGAAATGAATATTAGAAGCGTTTTCACTATTCTGAGAGAACAAAAAATTATTAACTTTTCTTTTTTTTATTTTTATTTTTTTATTTATTTATATCACATTGCTCATGTACATTATTTATTTTAAGGTCTTACATACTTAATAGTGAGTGTTACATGACCCCGTTGGGGTGTTGCAACAAACTTAAGATTAACATTAAATACATTAATTTCACTTAATTGTTGATAGATTTTCTTAGAAATCATTAAGAACTAATGGTTTTTTCTGTTCTAACGGTCACGTGACCGAAAACGCTTGGCATCGGCGAAGACTAAAATGACGTCACACACTAGTAAACTCCCGTTCAAAGTGACATTACATTGCTACGTTTGACATTTTAATGACAGTCGTGTGACGTCACACACCAGTAAAATAATGTCCAAAGATACGTTTTCGGGGTAACCTTATTTTTTTTTAAATTTTATTTAGTTTTTTGTATTTAAATACACAACAGAATGATGAATATCTAGTTTTTATAGATTCCATAAATATTAGTAAATAATGTGAGATTTTTTTATAAAACTTGTCTATTGTTATTGTTAAATAAGTTACACAACTACTGTACCATGAGTCTCTAAACCTAAAAGGATTTTTTACGACAGTTTTTTTCCTTTCATTCTGTAAAAAGCATGACAAGGATATCTTCTTGTCTAATTCAATTGTATATTTTGTGGATCATGTCGGAATTGGGTACATGAAGTACCTCATGAATGTGAGTAGCTTTGAAAAAAAATTTAAAAAACACAGAAAGCAAATCTCAGTTATAATTAAGGTCAAATTCGGCAACCATTAGAGTGAACACTCCGTTGTAACCATCATCATTAATTTAACTGTCATTCTCACCACCAATGACTATTTGTAACTGTAACAATCTCGTTTTTGTAACAAAAAATAGTAACTGTTTTTAAGTATTAGCAAAATAACAGCGCTTGGAACATCCATACTAATATTATGAATTAGAAAGTATGTCTGTTTGCCTGTTATCTATACACTATAAAACAACTGGATCGATTCACTTGAAATTTCGTAATTAATTTGATTTCCGGGAAAGGATATAGTGGTTACGCCACTTTTGCGAATCCATACTTTACAATATTCATCACGCCGCCGCGCCGCAGCTTCCGACGACGTTTATGTTAATTACTTCTTAATTCGTTGTTGATCATCTTGCGCGCGCGCATCATCTATGTCTCCGTAAGAAAAATAACAAATACTGTTAAATTTTCGTTTCATCAAGTTTCAATTCACAACGGTACTAACGAAGTGTTCACTTCAAAAATATTACTACAATTGCTAATTCTTCTTTAAAATGTTTAATATTATTGTAAACTTGTAAAGGCATTCGTTTGACACTATGGATTACCTACAACCAACGATATTAAATATAAACCAACACGAACAAAATCGTGGCCGAAACCTGTCCAAAAGGTACATTGGACGATCCACGGAGCCCCGTAAGATGATCGCGTAGTTAAATATAAGGCATTATTTTAACGTTGAAAATCACCTTTAATGCATATCGCAGAAGGTCGTAATTAAAACGCAATGCAAAGAGTTAAACCAGTTCGAAATGCAAGCTTATAAGATATTACGATTTATTGCTATATGCGGAAGAATATACCTTATTTCTTTATCTCTGAGCGCAATTTAGAATGCGCTAGCAGGTACGGACCACGAGGAAAAGAGAGGGCTAAATAACCGATCGTACACATTTGAATATCACAAATATTTTCTGTTAAATCAGTTTATTGTAAGTACCTATTAGAACAAAATTTGCTTCAAATGCGTTAAACATTGATTAGATATCTGTCGAATAAACGAAACTTTACGTACTATAAGTGTTTTTTCGCATTTTTTCACGGAGCTCTGCGGCATCTTGACTTTTCAACGGTCCGCGCGTGACTGTGAACCAAGAAGTGCTTGAGTGGTGTTCAAGCACTTCTTGATTGGGACACATTTTGAGCGCACGTGGTTTATCTAGGGTATTTAATATCGTTGCCTACAATGCAAAGAGATGGCGCTGCCTTGTAGCCTAAGAAATATAAGAAAGAGTTCGACACGGCGATTAGGGCCGCTATAGTAAAATGGTTAGTGCATCCACCCATATAGCGAAGGGTATGGGTTCGAGTCCCGTCTGCTGCCAGGTCCGTGCTGATTTTTTTTCTAGAAAAAAAATCTCTAGATTCAATTCAATCTAGCAGCTAAACTGCTTAAAAAATAGTTTTATACTTTTTGAGAAAACCAAATCAGGTGGTTTTTCCAAAGTGACCTGGTTCATCAGTGCTATGAAGCATATTATTATTTTATTATGTGACAAGTCTGATTTCATCAGTAGCTCCGCAAATTAGCTATCAGCGAACATGTAGAAAGAGACAAGCTTTTGACTTCCAAGAACATTAACTGCCCACT